CTCCTGCGAGCCACAGGCTGGCGGGCCCCCAGCTTCCCCCGAGGATGAGGGGATTAAACACGGCTGCCTGACTCTCGGACCCGCACAGAGTCGTGTCCGAAGCGGGTAGGTGGCGGCAGGGGGGGTGAGGGGGGGAGGGGAAACGCACGCAGCTAGGTCAGGAAACACCCCCAGATGCTGGGAAGAGCGCGCTTTGCGAAAGCTCCCTTGAAAGGCAGAATAGTCCAGAAATAGACTTAACTGTATTGATGTTCGATGCTAATTTATCTAAAGAGAATCTCTTGACAAGAGGGAAAGAATTTGCCAGAACCTATCCCAGGTGATGGAGAAGGAAATGGCAACCCACTCCAGTACTCTTGCCTGGCGATTTCATGGACGGAGGAGCCTGGTAGGCTACAGTTCACTGGGTCGCAAAGAGTCGGACACGACTGAGCGACTTCCCCTCCCTACCTTTCCCATCCCAGGTGAACCCACCACACAGGAGCCTCAGGCAGTAAAGAACTTGCCTGCAATGCAGGAGACCCGGGTTCCATCCCTTGATTGGGACGATCCCCTGGAGAAGGAAATGGCAACCCACTCCAGTCTTCTTGCCTGAAGAATCCCATGGACGGAGGAGACTGATGGCCTACGGTCCATGGGGTGCGTGGGATTGAGCCACTGAACCACCACCACCATCCCAGGTGAAAAGCCTGTCTAAAGGCCTAGAGGAGTGGAATGCAGGGAACTGGGGGCACCCCTCCCCCCAGCACCATGTGTGGTTGCATCTCCACTAAGCACGAAGTCTTTGGCCTCCTACAGCAGTGGGGTCAACTGGGTGGGTGCGAGTCCCATCTGGCCTCAGACCCCATCTGCAGGGAGCAGATGTCATGGCGCTCTGTACCCCCTCCTGCGGAAGCAGCTGCTCAGCCAGCCTCCCCAGTAAGCGCCAGTCTTGCTCCTGCAATGATGTCCCTTGCTTGCATCCCTGCCTCTCCCCAGTCCATGCTCCCGCACTGCCATGGGGTCAGAGGAACACAAAGTCCAGAGTATCGATCAGAGCAGCGACCTCAGGCCCAGAACTCCGACCCCCGAGGAACCACTGGGTTTGGTGACCGTGTTCAGGAGCCTTCTCCTTCCTTCACCCTCCATCATCACCTCCTGGATCCCTCGTTCACAGTCCCTTCTTCCTGCAGGAGCCCCCAAACCATGACATGTGTTTCTTACCAGCTGCTCCTAAACAGACTGGGCTGAGACGCACCAGCCAACACTGGCACGTCAGCCAACACTGACGGTAGTAGGTCTGGCTATGGCCTCTGTCACCGCTGACTGTGGGCCTTGCTTCTCCCTCTCCACTATCTGCTCCTCTCATTCATTCGTAGGTGTTATTCCCAAGAGGACCCCCAAGTAAACCTCCATCTCAGGGACTGTTTCCCAGGAAACCCAACCCCAAACGGTCCCAATCCTCCTCGGATCATGCGTCACACTCGGTGTGAGCACCAGTTTTTTGGTGCTCTACCTTCCTGACCCAGCTTAGCTCCTGGGTCCCTCTGCCCCCTTCCTCTGTTGGGTTTGCCCGGGGGACCCCAGCACTCAAGCAGCTGAAGACTGCGGGAGAAGATCACACGTCTCAGACCCTGGCCCCCTACCCTGCAACTCTCTGTCCCATCTTCCCATTTTCCATGGAGATTATGTCACACCTTCTCCTCCAGTGTCTAACATGAGGACTTGCTAACTCTGGAAATCACTGGCCAGTAACTGATTCAGATACAAGCACATGACCTTGTTCTGGCCGATGAGATGTGTTTGCTGGGAAGGCTTCCTCACTCCCTGGAGAGAGTGTAGGAAAAAAAAAGATGGTCTTTCCTTCCCCTCTGGGTCTGGAGGTGATGCTTGGAACAGCTGTAGCCATCTTGCTCCATCCACACCATGGGTGGATGAGCAAGGAGTTGGAAAGAACCTGGAGCCTTGATAATACAGCTGAATCCGTGAACTAACCGAGACTGAAACCAGACCACCTCTTCGTTACATATGAGAATAAATGTCTTTATTCTTTGAGTGTGGGTGGGTGGGTTTCTTTCTGTCCTGGGCTACTGAAATTCTCTTTTTTAGTTTTATTTTTTTGTCTATATTCTTTAAAGCAGTTTGAATGAGGGATCAAAAGCAGTGAGTGTCCTTCCGGACACAGTGGTACAGCTTCACCCAACTTAACCCTCCCTTGACTTCATGGGCTCCCCCTATCCAGCTACCAGCTCATCTCAATTCTCTGTTCTTTTTTTCTTTTTAAGAGTTAGCTATACTTGCTTTCCCTACTTCTTCACCTCCATTCTCTTTCAGACTTTCATAATCAGGCACGTGTCCCAGCATGCCACCTAAACTTGTCAGCGTTCAGCTCAGCTCGCTCCCAGTCCACTCTCCTTTCCCCCACTGTTAAGAAGACTCTTGAGAGTTCCTTGGACAGCAAGAACATCAAATTAGTCAATCCTAATGGAAATAAACCCTGAATATTCATTGGAAGGACTGATGCTGAAGCTGAAGCTCCAATATTTTGGCCACCTGATATGAATAGCCAACTCATTGGAAAAGATCCTGATACTGGGAAAGATTGAAGGCAGGAAGAGAAGGGGGTGACATGATGAGACGCCTGGATGGCATCATCCACTCAATGGACATGAGTTTGAGCAAACTCTGGGAGATAGCAAAGGATGGGGAAGCATGGTGTGCTGCAGTCAATGGGGTCGCAAAGAGCTGAACGTGACTTAGAAACTGAACAACAGCAACATATCCCCTCTAAGAAGATATGTCAAAATCTGGATCCCCCCAGTGGTTCAGAGTGTGACCTTCTTTGGAAATAGGCTCTTTCCAGGGGGAATTAGTTAAGATGAGGTCATACTGGAGGAGGGCAAGCCCCTAATACAATGTGACTCCTGCCCTTACAAGACACAGATACACAGACGGTGTGAAGACAGAAGGTTAGGGTGATACATCCACACACCAAAAGACAGCAAAGATCACCAACAAACACAGAAGCTAGGACAAGGCAAGGCGGGGTCTCCCACAGCTTTCAGGGGGAGCAGGGCTGTGCCAACCCTCTGACTTCAGACTTCAGGCCTCCAGAACTATCAGAATAAATGCCTGCTGCTTCAAGCCATACTGTCTAGTATTTTGTTAAGATAACCCTAGGAAACTAACACCCCTGCATCCTCGAAAGGAAAGGGGACAGTGCTTTGATACAGACCTTTGAAAGGCCGCCACGACAGAGCATCACCCTGTAAGGGGGCAGGCTGGGTTAGCAGCCATCCCTCTGGACCAAATACCCAGGGGCCCGGCTGGGTGCCCCACTCACCGGGGCCAGAGTCTAACCCGAGCTCCCCGTCCATGGAGTCGCGTGGGCCCCACGGGTACGGCTGCTCCTCCTGCTTTATCCATGATAAGATGTCGTGGGCGGAGATCAGAGACTCTGTTCGGGGAGAGAAGGCAGACTTAGAGCCTGTTCATTTCGCCAAGCATCCCATCAAAGTCTCACACACCACCACATGCAGAGGCCGCTGCTCTGCCCAGAGAGCGTGTGCCAGTCTGGGTACCCTGTGCCCCCACCCTCTCTGAGACCTCCCTGAATGGACCTCACTGGTGCTGTTGCACCTGGGCTCGGCCAGGCAGGAGGCCCGTCTTTCAGGAGGCCCATGTGGGGACAGAGCCAGGATGGGGATCCCGGGAGCCCCAAGGGCCATCTGTGGGGCCAGGCCAGAGGGGAACCTGGCCTCTGACGGCCCACAGGACAGAGGGAGGAGGGCGAGGCCTTCATGATCAGCGACGGCAGAGGCAGTGGACAGAGGTCATTAATGAGAACTGCAGCAGAACGTCCGCCTCTCTTATCAGGAGGCGCTGCTTTCTCCTTGTCCTGGAGCCTTTCAGCTCCCCGCCCCAAACCGTGTGAAGCTACAGAGCTGACGAACAACACGGAGCCCCAGACTCTACACTGGCTTTTCTGCCTGGTGTCCCCAGGGGTCACAGCCGCCAAATGAGATGACGCTGGCCTCCTCCAGCTCTGCAAGCATACACGAACATATGCAGATATGCACACACACACACACGCGCGCGTGTGTGTGCACACAGAAGCACATATACACACATGTGCACACACGTCTGTGCACGCACACACACACATACACGCACGTGTGGCCTGGGTGGGCAGAGCTTCCCTTCTGCTCTTTTATGCTTCCCTTTGTGCCTGGACTACCACCAGAAGTTTTCTGGAAGACAGCTAGCTAGTATTTGCTCAAGGAAAATTCCAGAAAATGTAAATGACTTTCTTTCTGTCACAGAAATATGTGCAACCTTTAAAAGGCTTTTCAGGGACTTCCCTGGCTGTCCAGTGGTTAAGACTCTGTGCTTCCACTGGGTGCAGGTTCGATCCCCAGGCAGGGAACTAAGATCTCATATGCTGTGTGGCGCGGCCAAAAAAGTATAAAATAAATAAATAAAAGGCTTTTTGATTATACTTCAGAAATTAGCTAAGTCATTTCAGTATCAGTTCACTGACAGGACAAACTATTGATGTAAGGATTCCTTTAGAGAAATCCTCCCTGCTTTTCTAGTAGTTACATGCCAAAATGCATACAAAGTCGTCCTCTGGGGGACACACGGTGGTTCATTCCCTGAGTCTCTCACTGGCCTTTGACCAAAGTGACTCAGTTGGGTTGATTTCCCGGCAGATACTAATGTCACCCCCCAGGTGCGCCGGTGGCCCGCTCACCTGAGTTGGGGTCCGTTGGGATGTCCCTCTCCGCCAAGTCCTGCTGGTCCCACACGCACGGGGGCTCCTCCTGTTTGATCCGGGACAGGAGATCCTGGGCGGACGCCGGCGAATCTGCTTGAGGGGGCAGAGTGGCAAAGGGGTCAGGGGACACGGGCCCACCCGCCAGGTGCTGCTTTACGTCTCTCAGTAGGTTCTTTTCCCTAAACATCAGCGGGAATTATTTGAGGTCATTAAAGCCTTAGGTTGACTTGGCCCCCACTGCTGGCACTTTTGCTGAGAATAAGTGGAAACTACAGGGGAGTGATGACATCACACGGATGTCGCTGAGAGAGCTTGTCTGTCCTTCAGGAATGTAACCCCTTTCCACGGAGCTTCACACCCAAAGCCTGAGCCCCGCCATGAGGGAGGTCTTCCTCCTACAGGGACCAGCCAGGGAAATGACACTTCCAGGAAGCCTTTGGGAGATGGTGAAGGTCAGGGAGGCCTGGTGTGCTGCAGTCCATGGGGTCGCAAAGAGTTGGACACAACTGAGCGACTGAACAACAAGAAAGTCTTTTATCTTCACCATCTTAGCGGAAATTTTCTAAGATGTAACCTACCTGTTCTTTCCTCTGCAGAGTCCATTAAACCTCATTTACCTTTTATTGCCTTCTCATCTCAAGAAGGTCTTATCTCTTAAGACCCCACTGGAGATAGTAACATAGCTCTATTGGCTTTCAAGCAACGAGCTGGCTGAACTGGAAAGCTGTTTTCCTCTGCTGGAGGGCTGTTACCACTCACCTATGAGTGTGAGGCTTTGACTAAGGGAATGAGGCTTGTAAGTTAAGAGTTTATCTTAACTTATAACATACTGTCATCTTAACTTGTAGTCACAGGGTGTTACTGTATCTTGTGATGGGTAATTTTATGTGTCCGCTTATGTAGGCCACAGGACCCAGATAGTAGGCCAAACATTACTTTGGATGCTTTTATGTTGTTTTGTGTTGTTTTGAGGAGTTTAACACTTAACCTGTAGACTTGGAGTAAGGTGGATTACCTTCCACTTTGTGGGTGGGCCTCTCCCATCAGCTGATGGCCAAATAGGAAAAGACTGACTCCCCGAGGAAAAGTGAATCCTGCTGGCAGACTGCCCCCAGTCTCCAGCTGGCAGAAGCCAACTCCTTCAATTCAATCACTCTCTCTCTACACGTATGTGTGCACGCACACACCCTACTCTTCTTTGGAGAACTCTGACTAAGCCACATCTCGAACAGAGCGCTCATGTACACATGTTGGATGGATGCTGTCAAAGAGGAAGTACCCAGACTGCCCGTCAGGACAGCGCCTGGGGCAGCGGGGCGGCTGGCACAGAGGCAAAAGTTGTGTTTGTTTAAAACAAATCAGTTCTTCCCACTTGGGAGCAGGTCTTAGGGACCCACAGATTCCCCACCCACCGAACCTCTAAAATGCCTCACTCTCGGTACTTCTGCAGATACTGTTTTTCGAGGGGAGAAAGGAATAGTTAAAAACTTGACGTTACAAAGAAGAGAAAAGAGAATGGCTAAGGCCAGAGGTGCTGCCCCTCGTCCCTGTCACACACCGAGTCTGTGCCTTGTGGGAAACCCTGTCTTTCCTATCCATCAATCGTGGACCCACATGCCTCTGTCTTCAGCTCAGGCCTCTGGCGGGGCACACCCATCAGAGAACGCTGGGCGCTTGCAGACCACGCAGGCCCTTCCCTCCACCACTCCACCCGGGTGGCCGGGCAGCTCACTCACCGGTTATGGACTCCGTGGGGATGGCTCTCTCCTCCAGGCCCCGCTGAGCCCGGGCGCACAGGGCCTCCTCCCGCTTCACCTGAGAGGATGCATCTGGTGCTGGCCCCAGGGGCTCTGCTCCTGGGGACAGAGGGTCACACGGTCGGTGCCGTATTCAGGAATGATCGTCAGCTTGGGGTCAGGGGCACAGCTGACAGCGCTCGCCAGGGAAGAGCACAGGGGCCTTGGGTTCTTATGGGCACCGAGGAACCCCGAGGAGCAGAAGGGCCCGGGAGCAGAGAGGTGATCAACCTCCAGGACAAGGGGTGGGCCATGCCGCACAGCGAGGTAAGAGAAGGAAGCCAGCGAGCGTGCAGACAGCCAGTGCTGGGTGGGTGCTATCAGGACAGGCCACAGGTCTCCTCCGTGTGGGAGACATGCAGCTTCATTCTGCACCCCAGTTATAAAGAGTGGGCCACACACACACACACACACACACCTGCACCAACAGACACAGACAGAAACACACACAGACACACACACACACATACATACACAGACAGACACACAGGCACACCAACAGACACAGACAAATGGACACAGACACACAGACATACACACACACACCCCAACATACACAGACACACACATACTCAGACACACACAGACACACTCACACACACAGACACATACAGACACAGACACACAGACTCACCAACAGACACACAGACATATACATATACACACACACAGGCACACACCCACACACACACATATACAGATACATAGAGACATACAGACACATACCCACACAGACACACACACACAGACACATTCAGACACACAGAGACACATACAGACACACACAGAGACCGACAGACACACAGACACAGACACACACACACAACTAGCAGGAAGTTAGACTGGGCAAAGGGAAGCAGCCCAGCCCCATTCCTGGATGGCTAACGCACAGCATCCTATGCATAAGGGACAATAACGCATCTTCCATGTAGACCCCAAGACATGACCACAGGGCATCTTCCTCTTACGAGGCTCTCTGGCGTGACATGTAACACCAGCTCCGGCAGGAGACAGCTCAGGCAGGAGGAAAGAGACTAGATGAGGAGACAGAAGGCACCAGCTTTCAGGTCTGCCCTCCGCCCAGCCGATGAGTCACGTGGCCTCTCTGGCTCTCAGTCGGCTCTGCCCCCCCTTAAATGGACACCGTGGTCTCTGTTCTATGTGGCACAGGCATGGATGACAACTCAGTGAAACAGCTGAGGCTACACTGCTTTCATGGGAAAGCTCATCACAGCTGCTGACCTCACACATGTGTGGTGCTTAAGCTGGGGAAGGGGCCACTTAGACAAAACCTCCAGAAGAGGCAGGTCCACAGCGACCAGTGACTGGGGGCTATGGAGGACGGCGATGACTGCTCCCGGGTGTGGGGCTCCCTGTGAGAAAGTGTTCTGGAATTAGATAGTGCTGATGGCTGCACCAGCCTGTGAACCACTGAATCCTACACTCCAAACGTGAGCTTATGGCAATGTGAATTACATGTCAATAAGGAGAGCAAACTGGGAGGTAGGGTGCTGCCTTGAGCAACCTTCTGGGGAGGTTTCGGTGAATACACCCTCCACTTGTGAGACAGGAGGGGCAGAGGGCCCCGACAGGAAGGCTGCTGTGATGAGGCAGAGAAGACGGTTGAAGGACCGGATTTCACCTGGTCCGACACCGGCAGGAGAGCCGCGTCCCCGAGAACCCGCACACTTCTTGTCACCAGGTGTGATGTTCTCAGGGAACTGGAGCCTCAGAACGTAAGATCCCCCTTGGGTGAGGGGACAGCCTTGGAGGTTAAATCTGCCTGTGAGAACAGGCTGAGAATGCTGAAGATGACAGCCAGGCACGAGGCAACTGGCCACGTGCACCACGCACACCACGCACCCACGCACTACGCACACCACGCAGGCTACACATACCATGGACACCACGCACCATGCGCACTCGCACATTACGCATACCACGCAGCCACGCACACTACGCACCGGCGCACACCACACCCGCCACACAGCCAGGCACACTACGCAGCGACGCAGACTGTGCACCCACGCACACCACGCACCCACGCAGAGCCCTCTCCGCCCGCCTGCCTGGGCCGGGGCGCTCCCACGTCAGAGTTCCAGTCAGGCCTGGGAGGCCGCCCTTTCCGGTCCTTTCCAGTTTGTCTGGGCATCTCAAGCGACATGCGTCTAACCCAAAAGACGAACCTCTATGGTGGGCTTTCTGGCCCCGAAACTTCTTGTACGTGACCGCCAAATCTCAAAGGCTGCAGAACCGGCCCCACGAACAACTTAATAGAAGCCCCCCGCCCCGGAACTCAGGCTGGGATGGGGGCTTCTCTCCCGCCCCGCCCCGCCCTGGGGCTCTCTGCAGCTGCCATCACCTGTGTCTGGATCCATGAGGATCTCTCTCTCTTCTGGGTCACGCTGCTCCCACACGCAGGGCTCTTCCCGAGGCTCAGCCTGAGATGGGGCTTCCGGCTTGGACACGGGTCCCTCCGAGTCTGGGGTGAAGTGGAAGGCAAGGACGGGCTGAGTGGAAGTTGACCAAAGGGGCCCCATCAAGGGCGATGGGGAGCCCGCCCCTCCGCTACCCTGGCGCCCCTCTAGGTGGGTGGCCCGTTATGTCAGGTCATCTCTTAGGACAGTGTAAGTCAATGGATGCTCCAGTTCCTGGTGGGAGAACTAGCTGGGTTCCGGAACCCAGAAATAGCAGCAGAGATACCGGTGGCTTCTCCAGGGCGGCTGGGAGGTAGCACCTAGGGATGCTGTTGGGCGGTATTCCAGAATGGTAGCAGCCAAGTGTTCAGTTTTGTAGTAACAGGCCCTGTTCCTGGGTCTTTACTTTCCATCCTCTTATCAATTGCTCTAACTTCCTAACAGAGAAGCACATCGTCTCTTGAATTTCCATGAAGTATAAACATGAAACACCTTGCCTGGGGGTGCATCCTGGGTTGAGAAGCATGTCACCCCCCCCAACTCCAGAGATGCTCGTCTGGGGGAGGGAAGGCACACTTACCCAGGGACATCAGGGTTTTGTAGTTCTCCTTAACCAGGTTGTTGTAAAGCTCCTTCTGCCATTCGTCCAGGTTCTTCCACTCGTCCTCGGAGAAGTAAACAGCGATGTCCACAAAAGTCACTGGAACCTGGGCCAACAAGAGTGTTAGTCTGGTGCTTCCTGCTTGGTGCTCCTCCCCAGCTCCTGGGAGGGGCACGGCCCAGTCCACCCCAGACTCTGACCCTGGTCTCCATGGCCCCAACCTCCCCATCCCACTTGGCCCATCTCAGTGGAGTCAGTCCACTCTGATTCTCCTGAGCTTCCAATAACAGGATGATCACCACTGCCTTTTAAAAATCAGGCAATTCATGGAAATCTACTCAAAGTTATATGACAGCCTGGATGGGAGGGGAATTCGGGAGAGAATGGATGCATGCATATGTATGGCTGAGTCCCTTCGCCGTTCACCTGGAACTATTACAACATTGTCAATCGGCTATACTCCAATACAAAATAAAAAGTTTAAAGTTTGAAAAAATATAATAAAAAAAATAAAAATGAGGCATTTAACCACATTCTTTGTAAATTCACTTTAAGGTCAACTCGGTACCCAAAGGTCAAGCTTTTGGTGTTCAGGGTGACAGACATAGGATAGGTTCTTAGTGTCTCAGGGAATCAAGTACAATAAAACCCTGTTGAGAAGCTGTATTTCTGTCACCTCTAGGTACACAGCTACATTTTTGTCACTAAAACTTGCTGGTGCTTAAAGCTCTGGCATCTTGATCTGTTTTGGGCACCACTATGTCCCAAGTATCTAGAAGCTCGTAGTTTGGAGTCAGTAAGCATTTGCTGGATGTGTTGAATGGTCTTCGCCCACACTAGGAAGGTCCCACTGTAGCCTGAGTCATCGGTTGTCTAATGTCAGTCACAAGGTTCAAGGGTATCTCATCTGCCCCATAAAGCTGTCATCTCGGATGGGCGAGGCCTCCTATCTGTGCCCATTTCGATCACTCACCAGCGTGGCCTCATCTGCACAGAATCGTTCAGGATGGTTTCAGTTCCATGACTTTAGGATCTGAGGTTGCCTGCACTGACCACACAGCCTCACCTCCTACCACTTTCTGTTCCTGCTGGGCCAGCCTTTCCCCCCTCACCCTGAAACCCAAGCCCTCGGTTCTCCCTGAGCCCTAACTCTTGGCACCATCCATCTTGGTACCTGACATGTGGCACTTTGGTGTGAATTAGAAAATGCTGCCCTCTTGGGGTCAGGCCCGCGGGCGCACTGTTTGGTGCGTGGGCAAGTGCCCGTACATGGAGAAGTGCCAGCCGCAGGATCGGGTGCTCATCCCCCAGGGGTGTCTGGGCAGGTGCCATGTGCACACCTGGATGCCGCCTACTGCCTGATGGCTCACTCCCAGCTGCGGAAACAGAACTAGAACTTCTAATCCCCCGTTCCTTCCACAGACTTGGGCGAACCCCCAACCTAGGAAAACCGAGGCAGACCGCCGTCTTCACTGAAATTCCCTGCCCGAGATAAAGGTCACGAAATTCTGCAGGTGACAATCGCGATACACTCTGACCTCTTGGCTGAGGCTCCAGGCTGCTTCGGAAGCCCCTTGACCATCTTGTTCCCATCTCACTGTGTTCCCCAGGAGGCTTCTTTCGAACTCTTCGCTCTCCCCAGCCATCCCGTCTCCCCTTGATGGCAGCTTGCTGGCAGCAAGCTCCTGGCTCGGCCAGTCTCCCAGGTGAGCCGACTCCCCACACGTGCCCTTCATTTCTCCTCCTCCTCCTGCTTGTGACACTCAGTCCACGCCAGCTTCTCCCTCTGGCATCTTCCGTCTCTCCGCACCCTGCTCTCACTTCAGGGCCTCCAGCCCTCCACTCTGCCACCTTTAGTGAGGCTACGCGCCTTCTTCTCCTGAAACATTCCAGGGACCTCCCTGTCCAGGGGTGAAGACTCCCCCACTTCTACTGCAGGGAGGATGGGTTCCATCCCCGGTCAGGGAACTATAATAAGATCCCACATGCCGCTTGGCATGGCCAAAAAAAAAAAAAAAATCCCAAGATGCACGCTGTGTTTTCTTCACAATCCACATATCCCTAACCCCCCGAAATCTGCCCATGAGCCCCCACTGTCTGAAACCACCTCCTGGGAGGTCATCAGCGTCCCGCCATTAACCCTCGACCCCTCAGTCCTCACAGAGAGATCAGAGTGCCTTCCTGAAATCTCCTCCTGCTTGGTTCCCAGAACCATGGAGCCCGGCTCTCATCCAGCTCCTCCTCCTTCCCCCCGAGACCAAGGTCCGGCCTCACTCTTTCCTGTTTCCTCGCTTTCCCCTTGGCAATTTCTTCTTTTTTTCTCTTGTTTTTTTACAAGTTCTGTGGGTACCTCTTTGTAGATGACACTCTTCAACTTTCCCTTCAGAGTTCACATTTCAACGGCCTTCTGACCGGCTTCATTTATTCATCTTTTAAGTACCTCACACTAAATGTGTTCAAAATCAAGTCAGTGGAATTCTCTGGAGATACAGTGGATAAGCATCCAGCCACCAACGTGGGAGACATGGGTTCGATCCCGGGTCTGGGAAGAGTCCACGTGCCGCGGAGCAACTAAGCTTGTGCGCCACAACTACTGGGGCCCGCATGCCTAGAGACCAGGCTCCACGGCAAGAGGAGCCTGCGCACCGCAGTGAAGAGTAGCACCCACTCGCCGCAACTAGGCAAAGTCTGTGTGCAACAGCAAAGACCCAGTGCAGCCAAANTACTGCCTTTTCCAGCACACCAACTCCTCTGCCTCCCTTCACCAGTCAAAACTCTAGGACCATAGTCTCCCAGGTGGAAACAGACATCACTGCAAAAACTTGTTTCAGAAGTCTGAAACATGGTCCAAGACTACATGCAGCCTACAGTTCAGCCAGACAGAAAAGACTATCCATGAATTATCCAAGAATAATTACCCAATTAATAGAACCCACGAGGCACAGAGGAGCTGAGATACAACAGCCTTCCTTGGATCTAACAAAGAGAATGCATCTAACAAGGCCAAGAGTCTACAAGGAATTAAAACTATGGCCTGCAATATTAGTTAACCATCTCAAGGTGCCTTATGTTTGGGAATGTTCTAAAATATATCCACAAATTCTTTGACAGTCCCTTCAAAAAACAGAGCTTAATTCTCCTCCCATTGAGTACGGGCAAGATTGAATGACTTGCTTCTAACGAATAAAAAAAGAAGTGATGGTGTACAACTTCTGCTGTTTTGTTGTTCAATCACTAAGTCAAGTCCAACTTTTTGCAGCCCCATGGACTGCAGCACACCAGACTCCTCTGTCCTTCACTATCTCCTGGAGTTTGCTCAAATTCATGTCCATTGAGTTAGTGATGATATCTAATCATCTCATCCTTTGCCGCCCTCTTCTCCTCCTGCCCTCAATCTTTCCCAGCTTCAGCATCTATTCCAATGAGTCACCTCTTCAGATCAGGTGGCCAAAGTATTAGAGCTTCAGCATCAGTTCTTTCAGTGAATATTCAGAATTGATTTCCTTTAGGATTGAGTGGCTTCATTTTCTTGGAGTCCAAGGGACTCTCAAGAGTCTTCTCCAACACCAAAATTCAAAAGCATCAATTGTTCAATGCTCAGCCTTCTTTATGGTCCAGTTCTTACATCCGTACATGACTACTGGAAAACTCATAGCTTTGACTCTATGGACCTTTGTTGGCAAAGTGATGTCTCTGCTTTTTAACACACTATCGAGGTTTGTCACAGCTTTCCTTCCAAGTAGTAAGTGTTTTAGTGGAGGTGATGGAATTCCAGTTGAGCTATTTAAAATCCTAAAAGATGGTGCTGTTAGTGAGCTGCACTCAGTATGTCAACAAATTTGTAAAACAACTTCTGAGGTTGGGTCATAAAAGTTGCTACAGCTTCCATCCTGGTCTCTCTTTCTGGATCATTCACTCTGGGGGAAGACAGCTGCCACGTCGTGAGGACACTCAAGCAGCCTTACGGGGCAGGTTCAAGCAGTGAGGAGCTAGCTGAGGCTTCCTGCCAGGAAGGAAGGAGCAACTGGAAGCCAATCCTCCAGCCTCAGTTGACCCTTCCGATGACTCTAGCCCCGGTCAACAGCTTGACTATAACTTCATGAGACTCTGAGACAGAACCACTCAGCTAAGTTGCTCCTGAATTCCTCACCCATGGAAACTGTAAGATGACTTAAAAATATTTTTTTTAGAGCTTCCCTGGTAGCTCAGATGGTAAAAATATTTTTTTTAGGCTGCTAACTGTTGGGGTATTTGTTACACGGCAATGGATAATTAATACAATGAGCTACAGTGTTGTCACAGCAGTCCTCGCAGCTCCACGAATCAAGCGTATTATCGTCTTCGTGTTATAGGTGAGAACACTGAAGCTCAGTGGGACCTGCAGGGAATTCACTTACTGAATGACTTATTTAAAGGTCACTTCTTTCCTAAGAGGAACTGAGGAGGCCTGGAGACAACAGAAAACATACTTGACCTATGGTAGGAAAACTGATACATGGTGAAGCCAAGATTCAAACCCAAGCTTTCTGCTTCCGGACCCCACAAGTAAGCCATGTTCTGTGATGCGCAAATCAAACCCCGACATGTGGTTCAACACACAGAATGCACAGCGGGGCCAGGACTCGGCACTGGGTCAAAGTGCAGAGCACAGACTGGAGCAAAGGGTGCGTGTGGGAGATGAAGCCAAGCAGCACGGTACATACGCCAAACTACACTGACCAGCCCGAGGGCCGCAGCGGCAGAGGGCGGCGAAGGGAGGAACCACTGTTAGGATTCAGCTCTGTGAGGCCTTGATGGATCACCGTCCAGCACCTCCTCTGGCAAAGCCACTGGCTTGACTGCCAGAACCAAAGATAAAAAAGGGCCAGTCCCTTATGTGGAAGTGTGAGCCGTCCAGCCGCAGTCACTCGGCACACATGTTTTGCTACAAGCAGGTCCTGTCACAGGCACCAGGATGCCACAGTGAACCACTCAGAGGAAAGCCAACCAAGAGACACAGAGAAAGTAAGTATTTCAGATACCTGAATGCTTAATTGCTTGGAGGGAATGAGAGCAGGGACCAAGGAAAGAGTGAGCCGGGCTGGGTGGCCGTGAAGGGGACACTGATCCAGTGACAGTTAGCAGACGCCTGATGGGAGCGACCTGGAGAGGGGGCTTCAGTGAAGGAAAGTCCCTGTCAGCGGAACCCTGTGGTGTGCTGGCAGCAAGGAGTGGGCAAGAAAGGGAGAAGGGAGATAAGGTCAGTGGGGTGGGCTAGAGGGAGGGGACCACTGACAAAATGGAGGTTTTTCAACTGAATAACCTGGGGAGCCATTTGGGGGCTTTGAACAGAGGTGATATGACTGATTTATATTTTTCAAAAGGATCAGTCTGGCTGCTCTGTTAAAATAGATGGTCTCGGGTAGGGGCCAAGGATGGAGACAAGGGGACCAGCGAGGAGGCCATGGCAGGAATCAGACAGGAGGCACCGGTGGTTACAATTAGAGAAGGTGGGAACAGTGGAGGCGGCGGGGGGTGTGAGGGGGGCTGTGTGTATATTTTGAAGAAAAGTCAGATAGTATTTACTAACATAATGGAGATCGGGTGTGAGAATGAGAGGAGGCAAGGATGACCCTGAGGCTTGCAGCCTGAGCAGCTAGAAGGATGAGGATGACTTTGACGAGAACAGGGGGTTCAGGCAGAAATCAGAAGTTCAGTTTAAGTAAATAAGTGAAAGTCGCTCAGTCTTTGTGACCCCATGGACTATACAGTCCATAGAATTCTCTAGGCCAGAATCCTGGAGTGGGTAGCCTTTCCCTTCCCCAGGGGATCTTCCTAACTCAGGGATCGAGCCCAGGTATCCCTCATTGCAGGCAGATTCTTTACCAGCTGAGCTATGAGGGAAGCCCAAGAATACTGAAGTGGGTAGCCTATCCCTTCTCCAGGGGATCTTCCCGACCCAGGAATCGAACCAGGGTCTCCTGCATTGCAGGCGGATTCTTTACCAACTGGGCTATCAGAGAAGCCCCAGTTTGGTTTGAGTTAAATCTAAGATATTTACTGACAGCCGGATGGAGATGCTGAATTAGCAGGTAGGAATGTGAATCTGGCATTCGAGAAGGAAGTCTAGGCAGGATACAGAGAGAGAGTGGGAGGGAAAGACTGCACTTGGGAGTTGACAGCACACAGACTGCATCTACAGCGCTAAGCCTGGATGAAATCACGAGGGAGGGAGGAGAGACAGCAGGCAGGTCAGGAGGAGCCTGGGGCCGCTCCGAACATAAGAAAAGGAGAGGAAGCAGCAAAGAAGACAGAAACGGCAGTGATGTAGGGAAAGAACCAAGGGTGGGAGGGGGGTCTGGAAGCCAACAGGTGTTTCTAGGAAGGGGTGGTCTCCTGCATGAAACGCTGCTGAGAGGGCAGGAAGACACAGACTGGGACTTTAATAGTGTGGTTCTAATGACCCTTGGCTCTACGATCATGGACACATTAGAGCTCTGGCAAGACCAACAGGATGACGAGGTGGTGGCAAGAGCCTCAGCCACATGAGTTCAGGGAGAATAATCCAATCCCCAGTTTACTGGAAGACTGAGAAGAGAGGAACACAATAAAAGACCAGGGAGGATGCAGCAACAGAGTCCAGACAGTGAGGAAGGCCACAAGTCAGATGGCCTAGTACTACAAGGGAATACGAGAGAGACGAAGGAGGCAATTACGGGGGAAAAGACTTACAGACACAGCAATCACAGTGTGTAGACTTATTTAAGTTCTCATTTGGGCAGCTCAGTTGGTAAAAAATTGGCCTGCAATGCAGGAGACCCAGGTTCAATCCCTGGATCAGGAAGATCCCCTGGAGAAGGAAATGGCAACCCACTCCAGTATTCTTGCCTGGAAAATCCCATGGACAGAGGAGCCTGGTGGGCTACAGTCCATGGGGTCGCAAGAGTAGGACACGACTTAGCCATTTAGACTGTAGAAAAAAATATTTTTGGAAGAAAATCGGAACACTGATTGGACATTTGAGTAGGTTGACGTCTTTGTTGTAGTAGCCACAATATTGAGATTATTACTTTAAAAAGAGAGTCCGTAACTTTTAGAGCTACACATTGAAATATTTACAATTAAAGCGACTGCTGGGGACTTCCTTGGCAGTCCAGGGGTTAGGATTCCACCTTCCAATGCAGGGAGCTCGGGTTCGATCCCTGATTGGGGAAATAAGGTCCCACATGCCTCACGATGGGCTTCCCTTGGTAAAGAAACCGCCTGCAACGCAGGAAACCTGGGTTTGATCCCTGGTTGGGAAGATCCCCTGGAGATGGGAATGGCAATCCACTCCAGTATTCTTGGGTTTCCCTTGTGGCTCTGCTGGTAAAGAATTCGCCTGCAATGCAGGAGACCTGGCTGCAATTCCTGGATTGGGAAGATCCCCTGGAGAAGGGAACAGCTACCTTCTCCAGTATTCTGGCCTGGAGAATTCCATGGACTGTATAGTCCATGGGGTCACACTGAGTCAGATACAACTGACACTTTCACATCGGACACTTTCACACCTCACGATATGGCCAAAAAATACATAACTGCTGTCTGAGATGTCTTTCAAGATAAAATGGGAGGGGGACATGGGTAGGGAGTGAGATAAAAGAAGACTGTCCAAGAGCTGGTAACCACCGAAGCTGGACGATGCATTCATGAGGGTTCATTTCACAATTCTATCTACTTTTGTATAGGTTTGAATTCTCCATAATAAAAAGGGAAAGAGAGAGAATGGAGGGAAAGAACTGGAGACAGCAAATGCAGACTGCTCTAAAGTGGAGCAGAGAGAAGTCGCAGTGGCAGGAGACGCCGGTCTAGGGAGCTGTTTTACTCCAGAGATGGGCGACAGTGCAGAATGTCTACAGGCTGGTGGGGACGAGCCAGTNGACTCCCTGCAGAAGAACATTCCAGACGAGGTTGTTCAAATGGAGGCCGGCTTTGAGACGACACCGACGATGGGCAACAGGGGCTCAGAGACGTTTGTGAGGAGGCCTGACGAAATGGAATCAAGGTGCTGGTCCTCACCGTCCTCCCTGCCCCGTGGGGACCACCACTTACCTTGGGGACCTCGCCCTTGCTGCCGGGGGGCAGCCGCAGGATCCAGAAGTTCCTGTTCCTCAGCAGGTTCTCCATGTTCTCCAGCCGCCTCTGCAGCAGCCCGTACTCCTGAAGCAGGGTCCCCAGCACGGCCCACTTGCCCTCCATGTGGTTCCCGAACTCCACGGCCGTCTTCTCACAGTCGGCCAGCTTCTTCTCAGCTGTCCCCGTCCGCCCCTCCAGGTTGAGCAGCTGGCTGGCCTGGGCATCCACCTTCCTCTCCACAGCCTGGATGGCGGCCACCACGGTCCAGAGCGAGATCTCCGCCGTGGGCAGCTGGGGCTCTCGCATCATGCGGTCGGGGAAGACGGGGGCCCGATCTGGGAAGGGCGGGAACTGGAAAGGCATCGGTCGCCGGGCATCCATGTCCCATTCCTGAGCCTGCGGGCAGAAGGGGGGAAGTGATGGCCGGCCTGAGACCCCATGTGAGGAGCGAGGCTGGCCTGAGAATAGGGGACAACGCGTCAAATGCTGCAGATCCCCGTTCTCCTGCCAAGCCCCTGCCTCTCTGGCTACGGCATTCATTAACATCCACAGCGGGAGCTCAGCAGTCATCCACGCAACCTTCCCATTTCCGGCCTGCAGAAGTTGGGCTGGTCGCTAGTCTACCACCCACCTTGACCTATGGCAGGTCAAGGCGGTGGACCCTGGCCTAAACTGTCACAGGTCATTTCTCTTTGATAAGACAAGCTGCTTTCTTCGCTGGCTAGACTTAATGGTGAACTCCGCAGAGCTTGCCCAGGGTTTGCTGCTTCAAAGCAAAAATGTTCACATCAGTCACGCGCCCCTAATCGTCCCAGCAATCTCTAAGCAGGTTAGGGCAAGAATGATTATCTTAAAGCTCTGCTTTAAAGATGATGAAATAGAGGCCCAGAGAAGTGGCCAGTCTTTCCAGAGCACCACTCTGCACCACCTACTGAAGCGGTTCTAGGTGCTGCAGATTGACAAAAACACAGTTCAGATAATGGGGCTGGGGGCACCGGAGACACCAGGAGCCCGAGCGAGAGAACAGGCGAGCAGCCTTGTCTTCTTACACAATTGTGTATTCATATTTTCCAAAGTGGGTGTGCCCGAAAATGTCATTCCCTGAGGAGGGGGGAGGGGGAGCATCTCTAAGAGGAAGAGAAGATCCCCCCAACCCTCCTGCTTCCCTAGGGGAGGGGTACCCAATGGCCCTGGCCCTCCAGTACCCCCAGCTCTGGGTCCTCACCCGGAAAGGCGAGGTCCCCAGGATGCAAGTTAAGAGCTGATCCCTATGACCAAGAGAGGGGTGGTCACCGTGTACTGTTGACCCGGGGACTGGTCCCATACCCCACCAGCACCCAGGGCTTGCTGGACAGCAGGGCTGAAATGGTCTCTCCTTGCCATGTAAAAGGGAAGGGTCACTTTCTGTTCTCTCTGTTGCTGCTGAAGGGGCCCTCAGGATGGGCGAAATGGAGACCTGCTACTTAGAGGTGAGCTAGGCAGGTAGAGACAGACACGCTCATGGCCCTCTCGGACTCACAGCAGCTGTGACAGCCACGGAGGAAGATCACACAGGTTCCAGGGAGTCACTCCTGACATGGGAGGAAGAGCAGCAGGGCCTGGGTAAGAGGTCCTAGTATTTCCAGCAATGCCGTGCACTCGGGCCCACAGAGGCGTCCTTCCAGCCTGGCCCACCAAAGGGGTCAAGAGCTGACAGATGGAAGTTCAGAACGTCACAAGGCCCAGTTTACTTTTCACAGGTGTTGGGGGAGAAAAATTTTCCTTCTACCCTTCTAGGTTCTTCCCTAGTCCCACAGTCAAATTGACATAAGACAGATCAACGTGAGAAAAATTTAATAACACGTATACCCTCTGTATTGGAGAAGGAAATGGCACCCCACTCCAGTATTCTTGCCTGGGAAATCCCACAGAGGAGCCTGGCAGGCTACAGTCCACTGGGGTCGCAAAGAGTCAGACACGACTGAGCGACTAAACAAATAAAACACACCTCCTGTAAACATGGGCGAGACCCAGAAAACTGAGTGATCTGCCAAAATGACCCAAACCACTATATGAAGTAACATCTTCAGCTAAAGACAAAGGGTGATGTTGGGGGGTTGGGGGAGTTAGTTACGGGGGTGACCAGGGAAAGGACAGGATGCAAGGGCACAGGTTAATGCAGATGTAAGTCGCTGCCTTCTCCACTGATAAGAGTTTTTAGCGATTGAGTCATGCCCTCTTCCTGGTACAGCAATGGAGGTTTCTCTTCTACAAAGGGAACTCCTACTTGGTTTTCAGAGCGTCTCCTGTGACTGCAGCTCCTCTAAAATAACCATCTTAAAATAATCCTGGTGCCAAGGAGGCAGATTTTGGGGCGGCAGATTCTGCTCCCCTAAACAGGTTTGGAGATGTAAAGCTGAAACATGGTCAGACAGGACACAGAAACTCCTGGCGGATGTGTCAGAACCTGGCTGGCTGAGAACCAGGCCAGGGACAGAGCGGGGCTTGACGGGATCCAGCCGAGGTCAGCTCCCACCCTCTGCCCCCGGCAAAGCCATCGAGGCCTGTCTCTGCCTCACACACAGCCCTGGCGCTCTGGCTCCCGAATCCGTCTGCACCCTCAGCTCCTCCTTACGGACTGGTGCTTACTCTCAACCCCAGAGACTGCGATTTCACCGGTGTGGAGGAGGCTTGGGCGTCAGGAGTCTTGAAAGGTGCTCAGGTGCTTCTAACAGTACGGCCAAGTTTGCCCACCGCTGGCAAGAGCACCTCTCACCCGCCCCTTCCTCGGTCACAGCCGGTGCCAGGGGGAAACCGCGAATCGCTGTTACACTTGGGGAGAGATGATGGCCGTACAACATTTAAACACACCTTTCTGTCTGAGTTGGCCGCAGCGGTAAAATCTGACCAGGGACCCCGCGCGCCCACGTCCCCGGCCCGGGGCGAGGCGGCCGGCCAGCCCTTCGGCGAGCCCGGGCCGGGGTGGGGGACACGGTCACGGCGGGGACGCCCCGCCCCCACGGCAGGCGGGCGGCCATGGCGCCGGCGGGGGTGCACCCACCTGCATGGGCGGCATTCCCTCGGCCATTTCCCCGCGCAGCGCCGGCTCCTGGTGGCAGACCTCCTCCGGGGGCAGGGCCTGCGCCCAGCTCCAGCTCCCGCTGTCCAGCCCCAGGCCCTGGATGCCCAGCTGCTGAGGCTGCGGCCGTGTTGACACAAACTGCATCCTGGGAGCGCTGTTCCCCCGCTCGGGCCGGCCAGGGAGAAGAAGAACGTTTTCCAGGCGCCTTCCCCCTCGCCGGGGCCGGACAGCTCCATCTACAGCCCGTAGGAGCAAACAGTCCCCTTCGGCGGCGCTCCCCGCCCCACCGCCGCCCGCGCCGCCAGCCAATGGCCTCCGAGCTCCTGCCCGCCCGCGGGGACCGACGGGGGCCGCTCCGGGGCCCGGAGCCCCCGCCGCCCCGAGATGGCCCTGCCGCCGGTGGGCCCCTCGGTGCGGGTGGCCTTCCCCCAATTCCCCAACCGCGCAGGGTCCCCAGCCTGGGGCAGGATTTCTGTCCGTTTAGCTTCCGAAAGGACCTGACCCTTCTGAGAAATGTTGCGGTTGTCTTCGGCCACCTTTGTTCTGGCCTTGCCTCTTGCCTCACTCCTTTTCAGGCTTCACCTCTCCACTGTCCCTCTTCTCGAGCCAGATTTACCTGCATCAACTCCGGGCCTTTGCCTGGATGACAGAGAAGCGTCCTGGGTTGGGTTAGAAGAGGGCCAGACCCTTCCAGCCAGGAAAGGAGCCCTGGGTTTTAACAGCAGCCTCATCCGGCACCTTTAAATGCAGGTCAACGGCAGTTTGGAACACCAGGCCAAGTCAGAGGAGGGTGGGGAAAGAGGACAAGATCGGCTGATGGAGAAGGCGTGGGAAGGGGAAACGCATTCACTCATTCCACAACTATTTACTGAGCACCTACTACGTGTCGGGGCTTCCCTGGTGGCTCAGACGGTAAAGAATCTGCCTGCAACACAGGAGACCTGGGTTCGATCCCTGGGTCGGGAAGATCCCCTGGAGAAGGGAACAGTTATCCACTCCAGTGTTGTTGGTTGGAGGAGTCCATGGACAGAGGAGCCTGGTGGGCTACAGTCCATGAGGTCGCAGTCAGACATGACAGAAGAGACTTAGCATTCACACATACCTGAATTTAAATTCCAAAATCACCACTCACTAGCTGTAACTGAGCAATTTCACCTCTCTGAGCTTCACTTGGTCTCCTCGTTTATAAATGAAGAAACTAATGAGACATTCCACAGTTATAAAATCAAATGAGATGACAGCAGTGCTTATAGGCACTCAACAAAGGTATTTACTTCTAAAAGGTAAGTCCTTGTAATTATCCTCAAAATAGTGTCTACACTGTTTTCCTAAATGACTGGTCTCTGTCTTATTAAGACAGAGATCTCCAAGGCTTACTGTTGCCCTATGTAGAGGCAGACCTGCAAGAGAACCACCACAAACTGGTACTCTTTTGTTCCATTGCACTTAGTAAAGTAAAGGGCATTATTGGCCCAAGGGAGGCATGTGCTTAGAGCACCATATTAAGGACAGTTATCAAGTACATTCTCTGTTGCGCATGCTTCCAGGATACAGACTGAGCATTTCACAGACTTACTACTATCTCAAGGAGCTTACAGGTTAGCAAAGGTTATATTCCCAGAAGTCAGTGATTTCCTTCCCTCTGTTCCCTGGCCATGGGCTGCCCCCTGATTGGAAATATCATGTCACTATTTTTAGGGGAACCAGACAAGTAGAGTCTAAAGAGCTCCAAGTGAATTCATTTTCACTGGTGAGACACATTTCAGAGCATATATTCTGATCTATATACATCATCAGCATCTTCCCTCGTTCCTAGAGGTGGAAGAGAGGCTAGGTTAGTCCCAAGGGTTTAAGCTGTCTTTCCAGTATTAAGTAGGTAAAATTACTTCCCTTCCTAAGCATTAAACTAATTATAATAACTGCTTCTCTTTTTACACAATAAGGTACCATATAGTACATCCACTTTACGTTTCTCCTTCACGGAGGGTGAATTTTGCACATTGCAGCCATCACCCTTTCACCCCTGGCAACCAGAGTTCAGTTCACTGTCATGAGATATGAGCAAAGCTACTCAACTCAAACAGAATTTAAATGCACGTGCTTTTTATAGCTGCCAACCCTAGCAACCACAGATCACAAAAGCCAGTAGTGAATACAGCATATGGGTGGTGAATGGTGGGGTGGCGGTGGGGGATGGAGGGAAAACAAGAAGGGCAGGAGGAGGGGACTGCTATAGAAACTCAGGTCATGAGCCCATGGATTCCAGTGACCAAAAGGCTGGAGGGGCTGAGATCCCACCCAGCATGGGTGGGAGAGAGCCTCACTGGGAGAAGTGTCCAGTCCTCAGACTTGTCTCTGTGACTCACTGAGTAACTATTAGGCAGTTATCTAACTTACCGAGGAGCAGAATGAGCAACTGGATAGAGTGGATTATAGATGTCAAGCATCACTGTTAATAAACATTTGTAGGGGGAGGACCGGGGCTAGGACTTCAGTCTCTCAATGGGCTGCTTCTCATCTCCTCACCCAAGAATTAGATAGCTTCTGCTCTGGATGGGGTATTGGAAGTGATAACGTGCTGAGCTAAAGGATATCAGAGAGGACAAAGGAGAGGGAATTAAAAAATGCCAGAATATCTGTGTGTCATGATGGCTGATTTTATGCATCAGCTTGACTGAACCAAGGGATGACCAGGTAGCTGGTAAAATGTTATTTCTGGGTGGGTCAGACCCACCCAACTTCTTTGATCAATCCAAGACTGATCAAAGAAGTTGTCCTCACCAATAAGAGTGGACACCATCTAATCCGTTGAGGGCCTGAAGAGAACAAAAGGGAAAAAGGAGGGCAGATTTGCTCTTTCTTTGCACTAGGACAGCCACCTTCTTCTGCCCCTGAAAACTGGTGCTCCTGGTTCTTGGGACTTTGAACTCAGAATGAATGGACACCACCACTTTCCTGGTTTCCCAGTTTGCAGATGGCAGATGATGGGACAATTTAGCCTCCATAATCATGTAAGTTAATTCCTATGATAAATCTCCTCTTAAATATCTCTCTGTATCCTGTGAGTTCTGTCTCTCTAGAGAACCCTAATACATGTGTCTACCAATCCAACTCTTGGTGCTTCCTGTATACTCCATGTCCTTTCAACAACCACAAGCTTTGAGGAAGAAAACCTCCAGCTTCCCTCTTAGCTAAGTGAAGAGGGTAGCCAGATTTTCCCTTTTATCTCAGTGTCACTCCTTGCTTAATTTAACAAGCAGGGTTAAGGACTACAGCGTAATCCTCAAGTTCCCCTCTCCCACTGATATTTCCATGGTTACAGCTTCCTGTCTGCACTTTTAGACACTTTAGGCCAACCTCCAAGGAAGGATAACACCTTAGATTTCAAAGCCATTGACATCCTAAGTATAACTAAAAATCAGAGGCAAGACTTTATGAAGGGGAGGGTTGCTGGGGGTAAAATGATGAAGTTCTAGACTACTTAGAAGAGGCATAAAGTGTTAATGTGGATTCCAGTCAAATATTTTGTATTTTACACACACACACACACACACGTCTTTCTCTCTCTCCCTCTCTTTCTCAATAACCTTCTGTTTTATACCTATGCCAAGTTTGGAGAAAATATGACTTTTTCCCTCCTGAGTTCATTTACAGCCTACTGGAAATAGGCATTCCATCACTTTCTTTGTCAGCCTTGATACAGGAGATGAGTGGAGTTCCCTGGCTTCTCTTCAGTTCATACTGACTCTGTGGTACTGTCCTCAATATGTGACCGCTTGGTGACTGATTCAGCTACTCAGCAGTCCTAACACACAGGCACCAGGGCGTAGAAACCCTTTATGCAGAAGACGTGCTTCAGGCTGGCAATGACTGCACTATGTTCTCTTGAGTCTTCCCAGCGGGCAACCCTTCAACATGTAAGTGTGGACTGATTATTTACAGTGGCCAGAATTCACTTAAAATGAAGTCTAGTGTTCATCCAGAATAATACCGGTCTTTCTAAATGGACTTCCCTGGTGGCTCAGATGGTAAAGAATCTGCCTGCAATGTAGGAGACCCAGGTTTGATCCTTGGGTCGGGAAGACCCCTTGGAGAAGGGAATGGCAATCCACTCCAGTATTCTTGCCTGGAGAATTCCATAGACAGAGGAGCCTGGCAGGCTACAGTCCATGGGCTCACAAAGAGTTGGACATGGCTGAGCAACTAATACTTTCTAAATGCAACAAGTAAGGTATTAAAACGTGTATTATTGTTAAGTCTGAGCTGGTAATATCACCCGCAGTCCCTTTCGGTTCTTTAGCAAAGTGCTCTCACACAGAGGTGCTGGCCTCACCTTGATGGAAGTGAGGGAGGACCAGGGGGCAGATGCTGGCAGCATCCCCATCTGTTCCTGTCCAGCCTCCTGTCCGAGTTTTTGATACTGGGTCTCTGGACAGAGCCTGCAGTGGGCACAGCTGAAGTGAATGCTGCCTCTGGAGGGCCTCACTTGACTATTGAGAGCCGTCAGCACTTTTCCAACAACCTTTCCCATAGCCTTGTTTCCTTCTGAGTGCTGCCTCTAGAATCAAATCATGACTTTCTATTGTGGATTCAAAGATCCTTTATTCATCTTCAGTCCACAGCTTCCTGTTTTAGGAAAGCAGGCTAACTGGTCATTTCCAGTCCCGCAATTCGCTTCTCCTTTCTATGATCTTCTAAACTTGCAGGCACAGTAGAATTACTTAACCTGCAGGCATGCTCAGTTGCTCAGTTGTGTCTGACTCTGCGACCCTATGGACTTAGTCCATGCACCAGGCTCCTCCATTCACGGGATTTCCCAGACAACAATACTGAAGTGGGTTGCATTTCCTCCTCCAGGGGATCTTTCTGACCTGGGGATTGAACCGTACCTCCTGAGTCTCCTGCATTGACAGACAGATTCTTTGCCACTGAGCCATCAGGGAAGATGTAGAATCACTTGGGAGAACTTTAAAAACAAAACATCTAGGCTTCCCCACACCCTGCAATCCCAGATTAATTTAATCATACCAAGGTGGGCCCCGACATACTTTTTTTTTTAGTTCCCCAGGTTATTCTAATATTCTTCCAAGAACAAAGCAGCATGAAAAGAAAACTCCCTGCTGGTCCTCAGATCCTTGTCTCAGGCCCACAAGATCTCCCTGGGGACATAAGCATCCTAAATTATTACTTATTACTAATAAAATATTATTGACATAACTATTCTTGTTGTTTTTGTCCTTCTGTTTACTCTTTGAGGTTGGCTTGCACATATTATTTTTCTTACATAATTTTTAAAAACTATAATTGGAAAGCCAAGAACTGTTTTAATGTACATAGCTTCACATACATCCTTAATTTTGAATTCTGTTTAACCACTTCCAGGTGGCACAAGTGGTAAAGAACCTGCTCACCAGTGCAGGAGATGTAAGAGGTATGGGTTAGATCCCTGGTTCAGGAAGATCCCCTGGAGGAAGGCATGGCAACCCACTCCAGTATTATTGCTTGGAGAGCCCCATGGATAGAGGAGCCTGGCGGGCTACAGTCCATGGGGTTGCAAAGAGTTGGACACGGCTGAAGTGACTTAGCGCGCGCGCACACACACACACACACACACACTCTCTCTCTCTCTCCAGTAATGTGCATGCCTTTCCAGTTTTATCATTCCACATATACATAAAACTGGTGATCTTGCCTGAGTTGCCGGTAGAAGACAACACATTACACAGGTCATGTTATATATGTCAATCTGATATTTTCTGCACCAAACTTTGTTTTCAGTCTCTGCCCACAAGTACTTCTGCTCTCTCACTGCTTCCCAAATTGTGGTTTCAGGCTAGCTTCCCCCCAGCAAAGGCAAGCAAACTGGAAGTGAAGCAACAACCACTGCCCATTCTTGAATGAAGAGAAGCATCATTTAAGAACACCCAGGAAACTGTTTAACTGATCAAGTAATTCTCTTGTACTTTCTACATCCACACTTTTTTAGGCCTGCAATGTGTTTCAAAGCACTTTTTAAGACCTTCCTTCATTTGAGCTTCACAGTACCTTGGGTTAACTTGGTAAAGCATGTACTATTCTCATACTACCAATGAGAAAACCAAACCAAGATTAAAACTCTGGCCTCCCTGACTTGCTTCCAGGACCTCGTTCATTATCCTAATCCTTATTCTTACAAAAGCATTAGAAATGCTATATACAAAATATTTTTTATGACACAAAATTTATAGGAAAAAGTAACCACTGAATGACCCCAGCACCCTAGAACAATCATTATTTTGTTTTCCTGTGCTTAAAAATGCACACATACTGTACATTTAAAACGAATTTTTATAGTTTTTCTAGAATTTTGTCAGTCTGTGTGGCTTTGAAATAATCATACTATGGTGAGAATCAGAGGCTTTAATCTGGAATAATGCATACTTCTCCAAGGTGTTCATTCTGTTGTGTGCATCATTCAGTAGGGCAAGAATTTGGGGAGAAACCAGACAAGGAAAACAGGCCTACAAAGTAAAAACCTTAACTTCTATGATTGTAGAGTTGGAAAAGACCTTATGTTACCACTTTGTTCAATCTGCCCATTAGAATTAGGATAGTGCGATCTACACAATCTAAGGGGCTTGCACTGTACCAAGTAGGTAAACAATGTTAATCTCAGTCAGGATCCCTACTCAGGTGGTTTTCCGAGCTTCCTGGGTGGCTCAGTGGTAAAGGATCTGTTTGCCAATGCAGGAGACGTGAAGCTCCCCTGGAGAAGGGAATGGTAGCCCACTCCAGCATCCTTGCCTGGAGAATTCCGTGGACAGAGAACCCCGGAGGGCTACAGTTCATGGGGCTGCGTAAAGTCAGACACGGCTGAGCGACTAAATAACAGGTGGTCTTCCACTGCACAGCCACATTAATCCATCAAGGATCCACGTTCCTGACAGCATGCGGCACCAGGAGGGACACACAATAAGATGTGGCCCGTTCTTGGGTAGCTTCACTTTTAGATCAGCTGCAGGATTTCTCAGTAAATGCTGGCTTTGCTAATAGCAGACACAAAGCCACATAGCCCAATGAGGTTTTATCAGATATTTTATTTGAAATGTAACCTGGCAATCTTACGAACATTGCAGGAGAGTGCTTTTGAGTCCTCTCTGATTTGACTGTCTCTCTCTGTATTCTTTAGAGGGGGTTGGTCTTAAGGGGTGGAGTAATTTTTTGTTTTCAAGAGGCAATGTGACAAAAGTCATTGTGTATGTGTGTAGAGATAGAATTATGGCCTGAGTCACCTATTTGAAAAGGAAGTGGAACCTGGCTGGGAAGGAGGAATAACACCCCAGAAAGTAACAAATTACTTCTTTTGCAAGATAACAGTGACAGCACCTCCAGGTCCTTTCTGCACCGGCCATGAGCTCTGGTCTGCGTGGTGCTGCTGGAGCAGAAGTCTTTCAGGGAAGACCGACACAGGGGAAGCAGAGTCTTTCCTCTCCAGGCAGTACTGGAAATGCCCCACCGTCAGCCCATTCCCAAGAGGGTCTACCAGCCCCAGATCCCATGGAGGGACCTGGGGCCCTCCCTCCTGACATGGCTGACTGAGCCAAGATGAGAACTGACCCAAGGGCAGCCAGTCCAAGGGCAGGCTGGAGACCTCAGTGGCCTGGTCTAGGAAGAGGAAGGGAAGCCCCCGGGGCAGTGGTAAAGAATCCGCCTGCCGATACAGGGGATGCAAGAGATGTGGGTTCGATCTCTGGGGTTGAGAAGAGCACCTGGAGTAGGAAATGGTAACCTGCTCCAGTATTCTTGCCTGGAAAACCCCACGGACAGAGGGGCCTGGTGGGCTACAGTCCGTGGAGTTGCAAAGAGTCGGACGCAGCTGAGCACACACACACACACATTACAAGAGGAGGAAGGGCCAGAGTCCACATCTTAGAATCTGAACCAGATGGAGTCATGGCACACACAAACTTAAGGGAGCCAGGAGATCCAGAAAAGGTAAGAGCAAAAGAACAGTCTAAATGGAAGCAACAGATGGAAGGCAGGAGCTAAGTCATCAAGTGGTCATGCGCTTCTGCAGTGCGCCATCAGTCCCCCCTCTGGTTGGCCTGCACCTTTCCTGACCGCTACCAATCTGACACATCTGTGTGCCAGGCTCTGTGCCAAGTACTTTCACAGGTTCCCCCCAAACCCTGACACGTCCAAGACCTAGCATCATTCTATGTTACAGATAGGAAAACTAGACTCATGATGATTAAATAGTTACGTCACTTCTTACAACGTCAGGACTCGCTAGGTCTGGGCCGAACCCATGCCCTACACCACTAAGCTGCACTAACCTACGAGATGTGTCCCTGTGAGGCCTGAGCACTCCCTGCCCCCATCTCCCACCCATGTGTCCCAACTGGAGGATCTTCCGCTTATAAGAGTCTGACACTTTCCAAGTCAAAGAATGTCTTCCGTGTAAAACCCTGTGAGAAGACTGTTTCCTTTGTAGGATGAAGAGAGCAGGGTCAAAGGTTTCCACCAAGAGCAGAGAACATGGCGCTGATGGTAACAGAGTTCCTGGCCTGTGAGAACATTCTGGGAGAGTCTTACTTTTTCTCCCTGCTTCTCAGTGGTCCTCAGGCAGCTGCAGAGGATGCTTTTCATTGTTTAAGAAGCTAGTGTGGGATGTGTGGGGGGAGCGGGGAGATAGTGTGTTCTGCTCCTCCTCAAGAGGACATGTGAGCGGAAATGTGGGTTCTCTATCCCATTTGGAATGAACAAATAAAGGGACTCGGGTTCTCTCTTTATCAACCAGACTTTCTAAGACTGAAACAGTAAACATTTATTACTCCCGGGTAAGCTCTAGAGTCTGGTTCTGGCTGAGATAGCCATGAATACCCAAATATTTTAAAATGCTCCAGAAAGAAGCCCAGCGGAGTCCCCCCAATGGGAAGTGTCTGCAGGCTATTATTAATGGCGAGAGAAGTTCTGTAAAGCACTGCTAGGAAGTTATATCAAGCAGCCAGAGCCCGGCTAGGGCGTTCTAGTAACAAACACCCAGCATGAAAGATCAGAGGTAAACTCCATTTAAGTTCACATCAGCGGCGGAACCAGAGGTTCATCTTATGGTGACAACGAAAAATCTAGTAAGGAAGCAAAGCATGAATCTGGTTACAGTCGATGGCTGGATCCACTCCACAGAGATGGTGCCTGTTGATGTGGGACAGTACACACTTCCCGGCCAGAGGGCAGACTGATGGAGTGCACGTTTCTCAGTTTTCCTCCTTCCTACTGAGTCCAGTTGGGACGACCAATCCTCAGATACTGTCAAGGGTATGGTTTGTCTCAGAAGCCCCTGATGAGCTAAGTTTCTCCACACACTGGAACCTCTCTGTTGGACTTATCTTTCCCAGTGTTTTTTTTTTTTTTTTTTTACTTATCTACTTTTGCATCTCAAGCAAACAAATTCTAATTTAGACCTGGCCTGGATTTCCACGTGGTGAGGACTAGGGGAGGGAAAGGAGACAAGAAGGTACAGCGGCTGCACCCCTGGTCTGTTTGATAGTTGACGACTGGATAACCCCCACTTCTACCTTTCTGGCTTGACCCTGCCATTCCCTTTCACTCAGCTTCACAGCTCTTGCCTCGTGGGTATGTGAACTCTGTTCACTTCTTGCCAAACTGTGGGTCCCGGCTGGCTAGAGTTCCTTGCAACAGGGACTGTGGGGCCTCTCTGCAGCATTTCAATCCCCAAGTCTCTTTCATTAATAAGCTCTGTGTCCTCAGGAAACCTTCGAGTGAAAGGATTCTCCAGGTCATTTCGTCCAGCAGCGCATCTAGTGCAGGCAGGGGTGTCTTCTCCAGCAACCCCTGGAGAACATGCAAGTCCGCGTCTTCAGGAAGGAGCCTCCCAGGGGCCAGCACCGTGACTCCTCTTCCTTTTCGTTAGGGAGATGCAAGCCAGAGCTGGATCTCAGTCTCGGGTTCCTGGCTAGGAGGTGCTTACCCGTGAAGCTGGAACTTGGGCTCTGAGATCCCCAGGACCCCCCAGTTTCCATGGTACTGGATCCAGAGTCTAGCTAGAAAACTCTTCAATCTGGTATGTCAAGGTTCTGTTCATCATCTCCCTCAGTGTGTTCCATACCCTTGCCTTCAGACTGTAAGTTACGACAAGGGACTAGATCTCACACACATTTCTTAGGCCTTCTGTGATGCCTGGTGTTGTGAATGTCACAGAGCAGATATTTTATACATGTGATTATCCTAGAGCGCAGCATGTTCAGATAGAGCCCTCCCGGGAGCAAAGCTGGCTGGGCTGACACTTTTTCCCAGTGCGGTCACACATAACTAGGCAGGGTGAAGTGTGGGCTGGGTGACAAGGGGGGAAACGGGTCCTTTCCTTATCATTTGTCAAGAGTGTCTTGCCTAAATACTCGCAGACCTTGTCCCAGTCACGATAGGGAGGTTCCAGGGAAACAGGAGAGGACCAGAGGTACAAACAACTTTTCTGCCCAGGACTTGGAGCTTCTGCGCTACTGTCTTCTATCCCAGTCTCCAGCCGAGAGTCAACAACATATCAAACTGATTTCAGTCAAGTTTCAGCAAGAACATCTCTGCCTTGATTTTGCTGTCTTATTTTGCTTTCCCTGGATAACAGCCAGAGATAGAGATAGGATTTTGGCAGGAGAAGGAATGTACCACAATATATGTATGTTTTAATCCTAAAGGTTCACTTTTTTCCTTTCACCAGCCTCATACTGCAGATGTAACTGACATCTGTAAAGGGAAACTGGCCCGACTGCAGAGTCGCTTAGGAATGGGACCAGGCTCAAACGCTTCCTGGTGACTGACTGACCCTCACAAAGGTACACATGGTGGCAAAGTTCCCCAGAAGCAAAGCCAGCGGCAAGAGGCTGCCAGGCTGCCCTCGCCCCATCTGGTGCTTAGCTCTCAGGGGTCTATGAAGCCCCTCAATCTGTCCATCACCGGGGGCGGGTGGTGAGCAGGCGATGCCGGCTCAAAAAACCTGCACTGTAACTGTCACTCACTACTGAGGAAGTGAAAGCTGAGAGGCTGTGGGCACTTTCCAGGACTCTATAATGCTTCTAGAAGGTGCTGTAGCCTTTTCCATTGATGATTGTCAGAATATCACACACCAGGAATGGAAAAGCCAGCTTACTGGCTTTGAAACGATAAGGAATAATATGACATATAAGTGGCTCTCAGGAATATGGTTCAGGCACAAACTCTAGGCTTTTCTGTCATTTCCCTGGGATCTCTAGCTTTTAAAGATGGGGCTGCATATCCTGCCTCCAAGTTTTTAACCAGGACCTTGGCAAAGCTTTCTAGCAGCTTAAATGGCAGTAAAAGCCTGAATGCTTCAAATTAAGCTAATGAAAGAATTGTTCTCCTTAGGAAGCTCTTAACGTCAAGATTTTTGCTCACTCAATATTAAACAAAATATATTAGAAGGATTACTCTGGGAGACCTAGGAAGGCAGTCTTGAGTCATCTTTTCAGGCGGGGCAGGACACTGGAGCTCTGCTAGGGGAGCAGAAGGGGGGAGGGCTTGGGCACTGGCTTCCAGCAGCCATCACACCACCAAGGAAGTGAGAAAGGTTCAGGCAAACATTCTCTGCCTCAGGATGGGCTCCAGGGCTTGGAGGCTCTTCCATGCACCTGACTCTGCACAGAGCTCAACCACTCTCAATGTAACCTGTGATGGATCACCAGAGGCTGAACCTTGCTTTCCAACCTCTCTGCGACATTCTTTTAACTTCTGCTTAGGTCATATTTTTTTTGAAAAGATGGGGAAGCTGGGCTTTCTTCCAGGTCTTCCTGGGTTTCGCAACGTGGTGCTCTTGTGAAGTTCCGAAACTCAAGCTCGGCTCTAGTCAAGCGTTCAGGACCCCACATTCCTCGACATGCCAAGCAGTCCTCACCACAAGGTGCGGGGTGGCGGGGCTTTCCTCTTGCCCCTACCGTGCCCACACAGATAACCCTGAAAGGAGACAGCTTTACAAACCCGCGCCCCCACTGCCTTCCCCATACCACTGATTGGCCTCCAGACCTTCGGGGTTGACGCCCAGGCCCGAGGCTTCCAGCCCGGGTAGGAGGGGCCCCGGGGGGTCCGGCGGCGGTCCCGAGGGGTCCCGGTCGCCGGCGCAGCCGCCCCCGTGGCCCGCGCGCAGGTGGTCCTTGAGCGTCTGCTTGTAGCGGAAGCTGCGGCCGCACTGGGCGCAGGGGTAGGGCCGCTCGCCCGTGTGGATGCGCTGGTGCTTCATCAGGTGGTGCTTGCGGATGAAGCTCTTGCCGCAGTGCGTGCAGCTGAAGGGCCGCTCGCCGGTGTGCAGCCGCCGGTGGTTGAGCAGGTGCTCCTTGCGCATGAAGCTCTTGCTGCAGTCGGGGCAGGGGTAGGGCCGCTCGCCCGTGTGGATCATCTGGTGGCGGATGAGGGCCGAATGGCCGTTGAAGTCAATGCCGCACTGCGGGCAGGAGAAGGGCCGCTCCTGCGCGTGGCCGCGTTGGTGCAGCAGCAGGCTGATCTTCAAGCTGAAGCTGCGGCCGCACTGCGCGCAGCGGAAGGGCCGCTCGCTGGCGTGCGCTCGCCGGTGGCTGGCCAGGCGCGCCTGGTCAGCGAAGCGCTTGGGGCAGTCAGGGCAGGGGAAGGGGCGCTCGGCGCTGTTGTGGACTCGAAGGTGGTAAGTGAGTCGGGACGGGTGCGTGAAGGTCCTGGCGCAGTGCGGGCAGGTGGGGGGCGTCTCGCGGGCGGGGGCCGGGGGCCCGCCGTCAGCCGGTGGGGGCAAGTGCTTGGGACACTGGGCACAGGGGGCGGCGTGCTCGCCCGGAGGGCCGCACTGGTGGGTCAGCAGGAGGTCCTGGCTGAGGCTCTTGCCGCAGTGGTGGCAGGAGAAGACCGGCTCCCCGGCCGGGGGCGGCAGCGGATAGGTGCCCAGCTGCGTGAAGGTCACTTGTCCCTCCGAGGCCTCGGCCAGGCCGGTGGCTGGACGTCCGAATGGCGCCAGGGGCGCGGACTGCGGGCTCTTGAAGGCCATGTCCGGGAACGGCTCCTTAGCTGCGGCTGCTGGTGGAGAAGCGAAGGCGACGGGCACCTCGGGGCACAGGGAGGCTCTGGCGAGGCCTTCGGCCTTGATGACCAGCTCTTCGTCTGCAAGAAAGGGCTCAGGGTCACCCGGCCGCCCCCGGGCCCCCCGCAGCTCTCCCGGGTCCCTGCCTCAGCAGAGGGCTGAAACCGGCCCATCACCGGGGAGCTCGCCACTGAACCTCTGCGGTGCTTCCGTCTGGACAGAAAGGGCCCTGGCATCCGTCTTTCCAGCGACTTTCAGTTTCCTGGCGCACACACTCAGATGTTCTCTGTTGCCTGTTGTGACCAGGCCTAAAATCATCTTTTTATCTAATCCTGTTCCTCCTTACTCTGGCAGATATAAACCCCTGAATATAGCTCTCTGTCCCTTTATCTTTTTGGAAAATACAGTACACATTTCTGCTCCTGTGTCTTTGCTCACCCTGCCCTCCTTTTGTAGAATGCACCCCTGCCTTCCCAGCTTCCTAGGTTACACCCAAGCACTTGGTACCGGTTTTCTAAGGCCAGTTCCAGGGACACGTCCTTCTCAGGCTTTATCTAAATACCTAAAGGATACCTGGTGGAATGTCCTCCAGACTCCTTATTTCTTGTGTATAAGTAAGTCATCCATCCCACACTCCCTTGATGTTTAATAATAGGCATGCCTAGTACTGAAATGTGTCCCTCCAACAAAACTTCTGGAAGAGCAGAAACTCTTTTTCTCTTTTAATTTTTATTTTCCAGGGTCTGAGCAGAGCACGGAAGACAAATAGGTTGCATTCAGTTGCATGAACCATTGTGTCTCCCGACCTTGAGATTCTCTTCTGTTCAGATGGCAAAATACAGACGCCGCTAAGTGTCTTAGAAGACAGGTGGTTCTCCCGTCCAGGTTTTGTCCTTAGGGAGAGCTCCTCACTGACACCCTCAATTGTGCCTCAGCTTGTCTCCCCTCCCCCTCCCGCTTTGGTCCTTTCTACGCGGTCCCCCAGTGTTCTTCTGCACTCCTCTACCCTCATACTTTTCATCCGCGTGCACTTCCTTTTCTTCCTCTGACAATTCTACTTTGTCTTCACACTTAAGAGTGTGTTTTCTCACTTAGAATTTATCTTAGTTGGGTTTCAGTTTCACTTCTTACTTGAACAAGCCTCCCCTCCCGCCCCATTTCTCATTCCTCACCCACGTCCTTGCCTCCACAAGCCCACTTCCCCTGCGGTTTCTACTCGGTGGTCTTGCCACACTCTGGGTCTAGGAGGCTCAGTACTCACCAGCATAGGTGCCTTTGCACATGTCACTCTCCTTGGGCTCCTGCGGAGCACCAACCTGGGTCTCTTCCTCTTGTTTAATCCAAGACAGAATATCTGATGTCGAAATGCCAGGCTCTGTTTGTGGGGGGGTGGGGGGGAAGAGAAATGTCTTCAGGGCTTGACTCAGAAAGTAGAAATAATCATGCTGGTGTGCTGAATACTACATTTTGCCCCAATATTTATCTCTAATTAACTATAACAATAAAACAAAAATCAGCCTTAAAAAAACAAAAACACATATAACATCCAGAGAACCAACTCAAAATGAAACCAAATGTATTAATCTTTCCATGATAGACTCACCTTGATTGACTATTTTTGGTGGTGAAAAGTGAAAGTGATAGTCGCTCAGTCGTGTCCGACTCTTTGCGACCCCATGGACTGTGGCCTGCCTGGCTCCTCCGTCCATGGGATTCTCCAGGCAGGAATACTGGAGTGGGTTGCCATGCCCTTCTCCATGGGACCTTCCCAACCCTTCAAATCAAATCAAAATTTTTATTTTGGAGATGACATCCTGAAATCACCTAGAAGCATGAGTACCTTTCATTTCATCAGCACACTTACTTTCAGAGTGTTTTCACATTTTTCTCTCACAGCATTTTTATGAGATAAGGAAGCAGGGGACTGCCTCTCCATTTAAGTTAGAGGGGGGCCCACAGAGGTTAAGTAAATTTCTAGTAAGGAAACATTTATAGTGAAACACTATATTATCAAGGTTTACTTTAAAATACAGAAAAAAAACCCAACAACCAAATAAACAAGATTGACCAAAAACTTTTTACGAATGTTAATTTGAAAACAAATATGTTATCAGAATTACAAAATCAGGTTTAAGCACAGATCTGATTGCTCAGAAACATTTTTCAGGTTCTCAATTCCACATTCTTTTCAAGACAGCATATTACTTTTGCTTATTAATGACACGGGTTTTTGTTTCCTAAACCCTGAGAGTAGGGAGAATAGTATTTGCAAGTTCCTCAGGCCTTGGGGATTCTTTTGGAAAATAAAAAAGAACAGCCTCTAAAGATTTTGCACATAACATGCCTCATTTGATCAGTACAGAAACAGCTGTGCTTGCTATTCCAGCCAAGGTCTATATAGCCTTTTTTGGCCTAAAAGAACAAGCTGGCACATTGACAGGGTCCAGAGAGTTAATTCAAGCTCTCTATATTATTTATCAAAAAAGCCTTGTATGCAGGTTATGGTTTTATTCCTAGCAGATGAACAGAACTCACTGTTATTGCTCAATGCCTTTTCAATCAGTTAGAGACTGCTGGGATCTAAAGGTATACACAAAGCAGAAATAAGAGGTTGGACAAGGCCCAACAGACTGTCAGGTTATGCAGACAGGAGAAGACAGGGTTCTGTGCACACTATGGGCTGCCTTTCCAACTTCCTACTTTGAGCTACAAGGCTGAAGTGTTACTAACCACAGTCCAACCTTATCTTTTTTTCTCCAAGATTTTATAAACATACACACACACACACACACACACACACACACATATATATATATATATAAACTGCTTCATTCATCAATCTTCTAAATAATGAGTTAGTGCTCTAGGACCTCCAAATGTGATTCAAGTGGTTTTGACTTTTTTTTCTTTAGTTTATCATAATGAACTCATAGAATGTTATATATTTGGTGAGTTTCAACCCATTGCAGTCATTATTCTTTTCTGTAACCATTTTAAAACTGAGTATGATTAATTTACAATGTGTTAGTTTCAGATATACAGTAAAGTGATTCAGTTATATGTATATGTATGTATTTTTTATCAGATTCTTTTCCAATATTGGTTAATACAAGATACTGAATATAGTTTCCTGCATTATACAGTAGGTCCTTGTTGTTTTTCTATTTTATATATAGTAATGTGTATATGTTAATCCCAAACTCCTGATTTGTCTCCTTCTCCCCACCCCTGACTAATTCCTTTGGTAACATTAAATTTGTTTTCTGTGTCTGTGAATCTGTTTCTGTTCCAAAAGTAAGTTCAAGTCATTATTCTTTTTAATGCTCAAATTGTCCCTTTTGGACTAGGAGGAGCCCCTTCAGATCAGTTCTATGTCTTTTCTCATCATCAAATATCTAGTTTCCTTCATTTCTGGTATAACAAACTAGACCAGATTCATCTTGTATGTTTTCTGTTCCAAGCAAACAATCAATAATCTGAGAAATGGAATTTAGAGACCACAGTCTGGATGATAGGATGCCAATTGTTAATAGGTTGTCACTGCTTCTAGGTCTTTTCAGCAGACAGAGCTATAAAATACCATTTAGAAAAACAAAATATAATCAGTTTATATTAATATTTATGACCATATTTAAAACTACAGTGTTTAACTGCTTTGATTTAATCCTTGTATCTGTTCTCTCTTATCCTGAGAATCTTGGTTCCTAACAACACTGCATAATGTTTGCTTTATCTGAATGTACATTTCAAAACTATACCAGTATTATTAATAAAAATATGGACTCAATTTAAGATTTTTTGTGCTATACAGTTTAGTTTTTTCAGCATGTGTTTGATTTTATACCTTATTTTTTATGTAAAATATTTACAAGGCTCCAAAATGAAAAGTATAAAATACATTCAGAGAGATCTAGCTTCCGTCTCTAGTCTCTTTCCTTGTATGGGTAGCCATCCTCCTTGACTTTTGTTTTAATCCTCCACACATCTTCATTTTTTTCCCTCTTTAAGAAGCATACTACACCGATTGTCTCGGACCTTCATTTTTTACTTCACAGTATATTCCGGGATGCATGTCCGCAGCAGTATACACAGACCCTCCTCGTTCCTTTCTGTAGCTGTACCACTGTGCATTCAGCATCTCCCCTGATGGGCATGTGGAGTCTTTCCAATCGTTTGTTACAGTATTAGTAAGCAGCCAACCGTAAAAGCTAAGGAGGACTGAAACAACAAGTCAGTTCTCCAGAAATGGGAGTGGCTACTGTTGTTACCGTCACTGGTTCAGTATGCCTTCACTGAACCTGGGGAGCCCCGGGAACGTAAGCCAGGGTCTTCCTGAATACTGATGCTAAAGTTCTAACTAGGTTAGTACAATGAAGTAAATGTTTATTTTGTTAAGTAACTGGGTCTTAGCACTGCTGTCACTGAGTGCATGTAATACGGTGTGTCTACTACACTCGGTGGGAGTGATGGGAGCGTAGGACTGAGCACCTTTCGGAAGTGAGATGAGAGGAGCAGGAGAACTGGAGTGGTCAGGGGGCCTTCTGCAATCACCTGCCTGGTGACAGAAGGGCAACTGCTCGCCCAGCTACAAGGGCACCTGGAGTACATCCTCACAGGCCTGGGGGACCCTAACAGTGGACACTTAAAGAGACACAGAAGAAAAGTAAAATCATTGGTTCATGCAAGCAGCAGGCTTTGGGGAAAGCCAGAGAAGAGAGAAACTGAAAATACTGATTAGGTAAGAGGAAACAGAAATGCTGAGGTTTCAGGTTCGAGAGGTGGTTAAAATAGAAAGGTGGATCACAAGAAAATATAAAATTTTAATGTCTATGCTGGTTGAATGTTATCATGTGTGCTTTAAGCAGGTAGGGCCCAAGCTGTCTGAGGAGCTGGAGCCTTGAGGTTCTGGAATGTGTACAAAGGTATTATGAACTGAGTGAGTTAGAACTGATGCTGAGATATGAATTCTTAAGCAACAATGAAAATGCCCGGTACATGAAACTACCGTTGATAAAGATACAAAACTCTTTTTGCAACTTTCGTGAAGCAGATATGGAACTATAACACAGCAGGTGACTGTGTTGTGTATTTGTGTACTGAGCTAAGTTTTATTTCCAGGGTAATTCTTGTCTGCATGTAGACTAAACAAAAATAAAGAGTTTATCATATTGGGATGTCTTAGTCACTGATTTTGTTTAGGAAAAGATGGTCTTGATGGACAAGAGTGAGCAGTGACAAAGGAGATAAGGGTGATGCACCCTAATCAATGATGAGCAAAGAAGTCTCCTCAGGACTGCAAGTTTGGGAATGAATTTATTTTACTTTTCTAGAATCTTGGCTCAGGTCCAAGGCTTCCAAACTAGAAGAAGGGCTAGATAATGGGCTTTTAGTATTATTCTGTCTGAACTTCTTAATTAAGGCTTTTCTCCAAAGAATTCTAAAATACTGGAGTTCAATATTACAACTATCAGTGACCAAATAATGGCCACACACGCACACACACAGCTGGTCTGCATTTTGGCCCTAGTAACAAAGAAGAATTTCAGAAAATCTCAGGTTTATATTTTTCTGCATTCTCTCATTCACTACTATTTTCTGCTAATTGGAAGCAATTTTATCTAAACTGCGAGGCACCAATGACTGCTCCCTGGAAGGAATAATAATTTCTTTTCCTTCATCAGATTCAGACAATGGTGACTACAACAGAATATAAAATGAATTCCAAGATATTTGGACATAAAAAGGAGGGGGTGCCACATGGTATCCTTACTATCCCCAAATCTATTCTACCTGTAATATATTTTTACTTAATTACAATGCACAGTTCTTCCTAAAGCTCTAAAATGGAGTAAGATAACAAAGTATGGGCTTTGTAAGAAATATGGATAAAACCCAAACATACTTTAGAAAATTGTTTCTAAAAATACATCAATGTTTTAATATAAACATACTGGTCTACTAACAAATTACAAAGTGTGTTAAAATCAATTTTGAAGGGCCTCCCTGGTGGATCACTGGTAAAGAATCCAGCTAGCAATGAAGGAGAAATGGGTTCGCTCCTTGATCTGGGAGGATCCCACACGCTGAGAAGCAGCTGATCCTCTGAGCCACAGCGGCCTGTGCTCCACAGCCCGGGAGCCGCCACTGCTGAAGCCCAGGCGCCCGGGAGCCCGGGCTCTGCAACGAGAGAAGCCACGGCAGTAAGAACCCTCGGACCGCAACTAGAGGGCAGCCCTCGTTGGCTGCGACTAGAGGAGACCCAGCACAGCCAAAAATATATAGATAAATAAAATTTTAAAAAAATTTTAACTTTAAAAAGATGATGATGTTACAGAAGAGGACAGCTGCTTGCTCAATAATGAGAAGTTTTTCTTCTTTTCTTTTCCTATTAGGACAAGATGAGGAAAATGATATAAACAGAGTGAAGAATAATCAATGAAAAAAATATTTGATTAGTCCTGTCTCTAAAGTGGCCCAGCATCAGTATCCACCTGGCATCCATGTGGACAGTCTGTTAGGCACCTTGATGACTAGACAGGTAACACTATTCTCCACTGAAAGGAACCAGGATGTTTTTAATGTGTTGGGAGAAGGAAAATCTAAAGTAGGCCCATGTTAACACAGCAGGCCTGAGACTGCCTGTCCTTGGACGGCCTGCTCCCAAGGCTGGCACTTGGCTGACAAGCAGTTCCTGTGCTATCTCAAGCTCTCCTCAATGTTAAGAGTGCCTCGCTGGGTCTCAGCTGTTTGCACAGTGTGGTTTATGCTGAAGATCCACTCCCCTCTGGGAGTCTGGAGTCTCAGAAAATGTCAGACAGAGGAGGCCTACGGGACCAGCCTTGGGTCCCGTAGAGTCTCCGGAGAGTTCCTCTGGGAGACGGCACTCATGTGTGTTGCCACAGCTTGCTGCTGAAGTGTGGTCTATGAGGCGCTACTGAAAGGGGGCCCTGAAGCTGGCCCCCGGTTCCCTCCAGACTGCACCCTGAGCACCTTTGGTCTTTGCTGATTTTGCTTTGTGTCCTTTCACTGTAATAAATCTCAGCCCTGAGCATGACTATGTGCTGGGGCCCATGTGTTCTCCCAGCAATTACTGAGTGTAGGAGAAGTCTCAGAAACCCCAACAGAGTCTGGAACTTTTTTTTTTTTAAATAAAAACAGGTGTTGAGGCAGTACTAAAAGGACATAGGAGATGGTTTGAAAGTCAGTTTTTGACAATTTGAGCAAACAAAAGAAAACAATTAAATGAATAAAAAGTCATGAAAATATAATTAAACCTAAAAGGGGGAACATGTTAAGGGTTCTAAAGGTTAGACATGTATGATTTTTCTTAAATGCTATATATTGATCAGTCTAAATTTTATGAATCCTATCTTTAAGTTCAGGTAAATACCTAGGCTGGTAATTACCAATGCAAACTAAAATTCCAAAGAATAAAACCAGAGTATTAAATAAATTAAATGCTTACACTGTTAATTTTAAGTAAAAATGTATTAAAGCATAAAAGGTGACTACCCACAAATGGAGTCTTAAAAACCAAGGTAAAAATAAATTGACAAAAAGGCAGCTAAATGAAACTTTCAAGTATCATCACAAACCAATTTACTTACACCTTTTCCATTCATCCCCAAACAATAAAATGATATACTCATTTTCTCTCACTGAGGCCTATGGCAGGTAACTAATAAAGGTGACCAAGGAGCCACTTCCAATAATGAATTTTTCTGCAATCAAATAACCCATCTTTATTTGTGATGTGATTTTAGACTATTTATATCCAAGGTATAGAGATTAATAAAATTCAATCTGTTACACTGCCTAAATATAATCACCTACACATTCTTAAAAACAATGTGTGGCAGACATATACATTCCTCAAAATTCAGAGAAAGTTCACTTGAGATTTGAGTATTTCATTGTATATAAAATGTATATCATAAAATATATAAACAAATATTGAATGGTTTATGAATGGTTGAATGAAATATTGAATGGTTTAGGTTAATGATATCCATGTTGAACTAGTTAGGAGGAAATGTCTTGCTATCTGCACTGATTTTAAAATACACAGAAAAGAGGATGTATTGATGGATGGACAGAGGGACGCAGAGATGGACACACATGCAATAAGGAAGTAGAATAAAATGTCAGTGATAGAATCTAAGTGACTGGTATCTCAGTGTTCGTTGCAAAATTACTTCAACTTCTCTGACTGAAAATTTTCATAGTAAAATGTTAGAAGAAATAACAGTGCATGGAATGGGGGTGGGTTGTCAGAGATATTCATCTCACAGAGACGTCTGGAGGATGAAATTTCTATCTAGCAAAAAAAATCTATATGAAATTTTTCTGATAACAGGTGGGACTTGAGAGAAATAACTGGACTTGGGCTAGCAGTCTTTCCCACACAGTATCAAATAGCTGCCAACCAAAAAAAAAAACCCCAAAAAACTAGGCGGAGTTAGTTAGTGATAACTGGCTCCCAGACTGGGCAAAATTCACTGTGCCCAGGTGGACATCATCAGGTCTGCCCTTTAAGTGCATCCCTGAGGGACCATGCAGACTCCCATCCCCTCAACACTTCTGAACAGCTGGACACATGCTCCCTCAATAGTCTCAGGCCTGTGCTACTGACAGGCGAAGGCTTTGGACAAGGTGATTTCCAGGGCCTGCTGAGCCATTCAGTCTCCTTGCTTTTGGACTGAGAGGCTCCAGAAGCCCCAAGCCCTGCTTACCTTAGCTCCAAGCCGTCACCTCTGACCAGGAAACGGAGACAAGAGGTGGATACCTCTTTTCCACTCACCTTCGCTGGGGTCCGTGGGAATCCCACTCTCCTCTGGCCCAGCCTGGTCCTCTGCATTACGGTCTCCTTCTGGCTGAATCTGAGATAACACATCAGGCTGATTCATGGCATAATCTAGGAGAGGAAAATGGGAAAGAGGGTATGACAGGTGATCAGTGGGGATGACAACTAACGGCCAATCGAAGCTGAGCTGAAGGCGGTGAGGCCCACAGTCCCAGGGAACCTCTCTGAGTCCAGCACATGGGTCCCCAAGGCCTGGCCCGGGACCAGTCTGTGGCCTGTTAAGAACCAGGCCGTACAGCAGGAGGTGAGCAGCGGGTGAGCGAGTGAAGTTTCATCTGCTGCTCCCCATCACTCACATTACCACCTGAAACATAAGCCCCAGCCCCTTCTGTGGGAAAACTGTCTTCTTCCAATAAACCGGTTCCTGTTGTCAAAAAAGGTGGGGACTGCTGGTCTAGACCATTCTCCCCATCCATTCCCCTCCAACCATGGCTGGTATCTATTGGGAAAGCGGTGGGAGGAGAGGTGATGTGTGGGAAAGGCTCGTGTGCTCCTTGAGCACCGAATACCACCTCCACAGAGTATGAGTGAGGGCGCCTCAGCCGAGGAGAGGCAAGGCCCACGGATGGCCAGACTGCCGCCTCCATGGACTAAGAGCGCCTTCGCCTCAGTGAGGAGAGGCGAGGCCATAAATAGGAAGGACACCATGGAGACCACTGCAGCTGGCACACCCACAACCTTGAACTTCACCCTCTGTCCTTTGACTTGGCAGAAGGCGAAACTGTGACTTCCTATTTAGCAAGGCTGAACTGAACATCTTGGTGGCTTGGAACCAGAAACGTATGAGGACAGAGGGAAAAAAAGAGGACACTGGAGGAAAAGGGATTGCCCTGAGACTTCTCATTCAAGTCCCCTCATTCAAACGGTGCCAACTTAGCCTCACCCATGGAGATGAGAGACTCATAGTTGCCCTTCATGATATTCTTGTAAAGTTCCTTTTGCCATTCTTCTAGTTTTTCCCATTCTGGAGTGGAAAAATAGATGGAGATATCATCGAATGTCACAGGCACCTGCAATTATAATACACTGGGGTTAGTTTCTTTCACTGCAATTCACTCACTCTACTACAAACACATCTCTACCTGCATGCATGCTAAGTAGCTTCAGTTGTGTCCAACTCTGTGTAACCCTAGGGCTATAGCCAGCCAGGTTCCTCTATCCACGGGATTCTCCAGGCAAGAATACTGGAGTGGGTTGCCATTTCCTTCTCCAACTATATATATGCCTACTAGTTACAAAAAACCTATGTGAGATGCCGAAAGGATACAGGCAAAACTTAAGACACAGATCTAACCTCCAAGAGTTGATGACATTTTCACTGTGACAAACTTTAAGGCTGTGTGTTTCAGTCACCAATAGAGAGAGGTACAAATGCAAAGCAGTATTTAATTCACAGAACAGAGCCTACAGTGAATATCCATGAAGTACAAGGCTTATCTTAAGCAGAAAAATTATAAATATACAGTTTCAGTCTGCATACGACTATATTCAGCTTAATGACCTGGACAACAGATTTTGGAAACAGCTATAAACTAAGTCTAGAAAAGGTGGGACTTTGGTCAGTCCTAATAGACAGGTAGGTTATAAACAGGCCTAACAGGAACGGGAAAAACACTGAAGCATGGAAAATTAGAGAATGCATTCAGAGAACAATTATGGATTCTGCCTAGCTGGAGTCGAGGTTGTATGAAGGGAATGGTCATAGGGAACCCCACCTTCCAGCATAATGTTGTTCAAAGCTAGAAGCTTATCCGTAGGCAAATGGATATGTCTCTGTGCAGAGAAATCCAAGAGGGGCCTGGGGTGTTAAGGTACCAGGTGTGGGCACTGTCACCGAGAGTAAAGCTTCTCTACTTCTGCCATCATAACAGCTCATTCTTCCTTCACCCACTTGAGAGCTTTCCACAGTTTTATTCTTAAATATGAGTTAACTTATAAATACCGGTGACCACTGAGAGAAATCCTACAGCATGATCAAGAAAGACTAAAATGAAAAGAGGGGGAAAATGACTGAGGAAAAAATAGAAATACCTAGGCAACAGAATCTTATATATAAAAACCTTACTAGTAATACCATAAGGATTTGAGAGAGATTAAAGCCATAAAAAACAGGATGAAAGACTCCTGGTAACTTTATATATATGTGTGTGTGTGTGTGTGTATTTTTTTCCTCCCCAAATTAAAAAATTCAACGAAAAGATACTCATCGTCATAAGCCTCACATGCCCTTTAAAATGCAAAGGTCTACACAACTCTGTGAGGCAGTCACATGTCCCAACGCTTCATCTGTGTCATCAACCATGAATTTTGTCCCTTACAGCTACTAGCATCGTAAACTACTCACGTCACATCCTGCTCAGCATCTGAAATCAAGCTGAGGGCAAATGTAGACGAACTCAACAGTCAAGTTTTATCTAACCTCACTACACAAAAGATTTGTGAAGGTTTACAACAGAAACACATATGATAAAACGATGACAAAAATGAAGGATCAGGATGCATTTCTGGTTCAAGAGGTGAACTAAACACACAGGTACTTCCTTTCCCACCCAAGTTCCACTGAAATAACAGTAAGCCAGACCAGGAGGGACTAAATATTAATAACAGTACCAAGAACAAGAAGGAGAGGGTGTCCCCCGGTCGGAATTTCTGACGAGTTTCTCATTGAGACTAGAGGACGCGCCAGGGCTGGGGCACGAGGAAGAGGCGTCTCTGACAACGCACAGGGAAGGGCCGCAGCGAGGAATGCAGAGAGCTGCAAGCCCAGAGCTGGCAGAGGCACTGAGCAGGAGTGACAGCGGTTAGAAACTGCAGCCTGAAGGTCTGTCTTTGGAACAGCAGGGGCCCCTCTCTTGTCCTCATCAGCCCTGGTAAAGCAGCATTTACCCCAAAGCTGAAACCCAGACCTCATCTCTAAAGAAATTTAAAAACCTGTCTGGAGACAGTATGGGGTCCCGGTGTGGGGCTGACAACCTGAGTCCTGCCTCACTCCTGGCCTCTGGGTGGCTCCCACACTGCCTGTTTGCTCCTTGCCTGGCACCCTAAAGCGAAGCCCACCTACATGGGGCATCTAAGGAGAGAGCCTCTCGTGTAAAAGAAAGAGCCCTTGGTTAAAAAGGCTGACACAGTGGTAGAGAAAAATGCAAGCTTCCTCTAATTACCCTATTAACCAAATCCTTCGCTTATAAATATGAACAAACAACCAAGGATCACTCAATATTAAAAAAGTAAAATTGGGACTTCCCTGGTGGTCCAGGGGCTGAGACTCCATGCTCCCAAATGCAGGGGGCCCGGGTTTGATCCCTGGTCTGGGAACTAGATCCCACATACTGCAACTAAGAGTGTGAGCTGCAACTGAGACTCACTGCAGCTAAATAAATATTAAAAAAAAAAAAAGTAAAACTGGACTTCCCTGGTGGTACAGTGTTAAGAATCCACCTGCCAATGCAAGGGCCATGGGTTTGATCCCTGTTCTGGGAAGATTCCACATGTTGTGAGAAATGAGCCCATGTGCCACAACTACTGTAGCCTGCACGCACTGGGGCCCACAAGCCACAAGTACTGAGCCCCTTGTGTCACAACTGCTGAAGCCCGCATGCCCCAGAGCCAGCAAGTCACAGCTGCTGAGCCTGAGTGCAGCAACTACTGAAGTCCATGTGCCTAGAGTCTGTGCTCTAGAGTGCAGCCAAAAAATAAATGAATGAATAAACAAGTAAAATTAACAGCATCAAGAGGAACATACACTACAAAAAAATCCTAGATCTAAAAAAAAAGTTAAAAAGCTGAAGGAAAGTTATGACCAACCTAGACAGCATATTGAAAAACAGAGACAGTACTTGGCCAACAAAGGTCCATCTAGTCAAAGCTATGGTTTTTCCAGTAGTCATGTATGGATGTGAGAGTTGGACTATAAAGAAAGCTGAGCACCGAAGAATTGATGCTTTTGAACTGTGGTGTTGGAGAAGACTCTTGAGAGTCCCTTGGACTGAGAGGAGATCCAACCAGTCCATCCTAAAGGAAATCAGTCCTGAATATTCATTGGAAGGACTGATGCTGAAGCTGAAACTTCAATACTTTGGCCACCTGATGTGAAGAGCTGACTCATTTGAAAAGACCTTGATGCTGGGAAAGATTGAGGGCAGAAGGAGAAGGGGGCAACAGAGGATGAGATGGCTGGATGGCATCACTGACTCAATGGACATGGGTTTGGGTGAACTCTGGGAGCTGGTGATGGACAGGGAGGCCTGGCATGCTGCGGTTCATGTGGTCGCAAAAAGTCAGACACGACTGAGTGACTGAACTGAACTGAACACATATTCACAGAGACATTCAAGTAGATATTGCATCCATTAAAAAAGAAAAATTCAGGCTGGTTTTAAAAAGGAGAAAATAAATATTCTTTACAATTAAATATATAATTGTTAAAATGAGAAAGGTTAGAAGGAAAAGTAACAGAACTCCAGTTTAAAAGGTGAAAAATATGAAGGAAAAGTTAAAGAGATGAAGACAAGAATCCATCATCTGTCAAACAGTAATTCCACAAAGAGAACAGAAAAAAAAAATGTGGATGGGGGAAACAAAAGATTGTAAAAATAGAATCACAGAAGAAAATTTCCCAGAGCGGAAAATCAGTCTTCTGATTGTGAAAGGTGACACCAAGTGCCCAACATAAATTTTAAAAGACCTACACCCAAGACATAACAAGTACAAATAGAAGGTAAAAGCTTCCAGAGAGAGAAAAAAAAAACTATTCCTTACAAACAAGAATTGATTTGTTATTAAACTTTTCACCAATGGCATCTGATGTAATGAAAAAAAGAACTGGTACCTTTGACACTGTGGGAGAAGTGGAATATTACTCAGCCTTAAAAAGGCAGTTCTGACACCTGCCCTGACATGGATTAATCTTGAAGGTGTCATGCCCAGGGAAATACTCCCTCACAAGGAAAGAGATACAGTACGAGCCCACCTAGATGAGGACCTGGAGCAGACAGTCACAGAGATGGAAAGCAGGACGGGGGTCACCAGGGGCTAGGGGAGGGGGTCCTGGGAGGATCTATAGGTACATCACTAAAGTTTTGCAAAATGAAGACGTTCTGAAGACGGATGCTGGTGATAGATGCCTAAGAGGAAAATGTACTTAATGCCACTGAACCATCCATTTAAAATGGCTAAAATGGTAAATATTTTTTCTTTTACCCCCTCTCCCCTAAAATGGTCAATTTTATGTCACATATATTTTACCACAGTTCGAAAAATTAAAATGAAGAAACGATTTTTGAGGGAGAATTATTTTGAACTTGGCATTCAAAAATAAGGTCAGAGTAGGAACGTTTTCAACAAATCAAGGACACGAAAGTGTCCCTGTGGCCCATATTTCAAACTGGTAAATCTTCTATATATTTTAATTTCATGAAGTAATCTTTGAGAGGAATCACTTCAAATTCAAATTTGAAGTTTAAGAAGGACAGTTTAGATGTTATCCATTTACCCAGGTAAGACAGTAAGTAGCTTTAACTTACCTTCTCTGCTATTCTTATGGCCCAACACCAAGTTTAAATTACTCCCAAGAACTCTGGGAGGCGCCCAGATACACACACCATGCACACAGTGGGGAAGGCTCTCTCTCAGAGGCCAACTCCGACCTTCCCAGCCACCTGCTCACCCCTGTACCTTGAGGAAGTCTCCATCTTCTCTGTTTGCCCCCTGACCCCACACTCAGTCCTCTATCCCCCACTCTCTGCCCTGCAACAGCTCTTGCAAGGTCCCCAGCAAAGTTGTGTTGTCAAACTGCATTCACCATCCTCATCTTTCTAGACCTCTCAGCAACATATCCGCCCACACGACCACTGTCCCTTGACCCTGTGACCCACACACTCACTGGCCGCCACTCCCTCCCGTGGTTCTTGGTCCTTGGACTCTTTTCTCCTGCCTCTCCACCTTCTCTCCTGAGGTCATCGCTCCTGGCTTCATGACTTACGATAACATCTGCACATCAATGATTTCCAAATATTTCTCACCTTTGAGCTTCAGAGACCGCTTAGCACCACTCCTGAACATATCCCAGGCATCTCAAACTTAATGCTGCCAAAGGGGCACTAATTCCTTCCCTCCGTAAACACCAAGACCATCCCCTCAGACCTCCAAGTCAAAAACCGAAGAGTCCGTGGTTGAGACCACCTGCTCTGGAGCCAAATGGCTCACAATCTAACTCCGCTATTTACATTTACTGACTGCATGAGCTTGGGCTCAAGTTAGGCTTCTTATGAAAGTAACCAAAGTACTTACAACAGTAAGTGCTCAGAAATTATCACGCAGTAAATTTACAATTACCATTGTTCTTAATTCCTCATTCCCTAATTCCCATCAGTAAATCTTACTGTCAATTGTACCATCAAAATGTCCTCAATCTGCACGCTTGTCTCCCTCTGCATTGCTGTTACCCTCAACCAAGTCACTCTTGGCCCTCCTGCCCTGACGGCTGCCTTACAGTTTTCTCCCCGCTTCTGTTCTTACCCCAATGAGCCATTCTCCACAGAGCGGTCAAAGAGATTCTTTCAGAATATAAACCAGATATAACTCCTCCACTTAAAACCTTCCAACCTTCTCATTCTAATTCAGATGAAGACCACATTCCTCACCTTGGTTTCCAAGGCCCTACATTGGTGGTTTACAACCAGAGTAGAATGTTAGAATCGTCTATGGAGTTTTAAGATCAATGGTTAGGCCCCATCCTGAACCTGCTTAGTTAGAACATCCAGACACGATGCCCATCAGAATTTTCAGTCTCCCAGATGACTCCTGTCGAACCAGGGCTTAAAAACCCTGCCCTAAACGAGCCACCACCTACGTCTCTGGCCATGCTCTACTTGTTCACGGCACACCAGCCGGTTGGCCTTTGTCCTTCCTCTCGGTGTTCCAAGTTTGTTTGTGCCTTTGGGACTTGGCACTAGGTATTCTTTCTGCCTGGAAGGTTCTCGCTCAGACCTTCTCCCAGTCGGGTCCTTCCTGTCATTTACTCTCAGCCTAAATACCAGCTCCTTTACTAGACCTTCTCTGACATCCAATCTAAAAAAAAAATAACCAGATAACACTTTTATTTTTTACTGAGGCACTTAAATGGATTTATTTGGTTTGTTTGTACTGTCTTTCCCCCTAAAGTTTAAGCTTCAGGGGAGCTTGCATGAATTATTCACTGCTGTGCCTTCAAGAACTAGATATCAAGCCAACAGTACATGTTCAAGAAATACTTGTTGAATGAATGACTAAATAAACGGACATGTTTGGAAACTAGCTGCCTCTGTCTTCCAGAACTCAAGAATGGCGTTTATTTCCTGTTGCTTTATAGGCTATTCCCTTCGGAGAGGCCAGGCCTGAGCAGGACAGCGCACCATGTAAAGGGTGAAGGACAGGCCCCCCCTGGATCCTAGCCCCACAGACAGCCCCCCATCCTTACACCAACCATTTGATTCTACATCTCACTCCTCTGTCCTCTTTTTTTTTTTAATCTGGAATTGCCAACAAATTCAAATTGACTGATTTCAATGATATTTAATTTTGTTTCCAATCAAGACTGCAGTGGACAGATTAATACAGAAAAAAAGTGACTTGGGGATAATGGGTAGGAGAAAGAAAAAAAAAATCCATCTGCCAGATAGCCAACTTTGGGCTAAGAAGAGTCTTCCAGTCTGAAGTCTGACATTTCCCATGATCAGAACATGTAACTTGAACATGGAATGCTTCCCAGATAGACAGACACACAGAGCCACTTCCTGGTTCCTTTGGCCTCACTGATTGAACAAGACCGCCTGTTACTAACAGTCTAAGGATGAGGGGACAAAAGAGGATGAGATGGTCGGATGGCCTCACCGACTCAATGGACAAGAGTTGGAGCAAGCTCCAGGAGATGGTGAAGGACAGGGAAGCCTGGCGTGGTGCAGTCCATGGGGTCACCAAGAGTCAGACATGACCGAGCGACTGAACAGCAGTAAGGACGAGGGCTTGCACCCCCCACGCCGCAGTGCAAGGCTTACCTTTGGAATGTCTCCTTTGATACCCGGGGGCAGCCGCAGGATCCAGAAGTTCCTGTTCCTCAGCAGGTTCTCCAAGTTCTCCAGCCGCCTCTGCAGCAGCCCGTACTCCTGCAGCAGGGTCCCCAGCACGGCCCACTTGCCCTCCAGCTGGTTTCCGAGATCCGCCACTGTCTTCTCACAGCTGGCCAGCTTCTTCTCGGCCGTGCCCGTCCGGCCTTCCAGGTGCAGCAGTCGCCGGCTGTGGACTTCCACCTTTCTCTCAATGGCCTGCACGGCCGCCACCACCGTCCACAGGGAGATGGCCGCGGTCTGCAAGTGAGCTTCGTTTGCCGCTGGGGCTGCGGGGAGAGGGAGCGCCTGCAGGGAGGTAAGGCATTCGGAATCCCATTCGGAAGTCTGTGCGTGGTGGGGAGATGGGAGGAGACACCGAGGGTTAGAAGGGGCCCTAATCCAAAGCAAAATCATATAAGCGCTGCTCCCATGGCCAGTTGTGATTATTCTAAGTACAGTTTTAGTACTGCCTGCTCAAGCCTCATCTTTGTGGAGCTCAGTGGCACAAAAACCAAGAGAACTCAGGGGTGGATGAGCTAAGACAGTGACCAGGTGAAACTGGACCAAGCAGTGGCCTGGGGCATTCCCTGGGGTGGAAGGCCCTGAGCCAGCCGCCCAGGGGCCAGGCTGCGGTGGCATCCTCTGCCTCTGCAAAAGCTCGAAGCGCACCAGGATCTCTCCAGGTTTCACTGAGCTCCATGCCCTCTGATAAACCCCTTCTTTACTGACTTAACGCTCTGGCCTTGTCCACCACCTGCCTGACAGCCACAGCCATATCATGCAGTAGCAATTGAATAAGCTATGAATGTTGCACGTGGAGAAAACATGGTGGTTCTTTTCTAATACTTGCAAGTTATAAAACCGAAGGCTGAACAGACTTGTTTAATCTGATCCACCCTGTGTTACTCCAGAGGGCAGACAGAACTAGAACCAACATTTGAATTTTTGGGAAGGGAAACTTTGATCTGTATAAATGAGTATGGAACTAGGTCTTTCCAAGAAAATAACAGGCTCCCCCACTGCCCCGATCACTTTGAGCATACTTTGACACATGAGTGTATTTTTTTACAAAAATGAAATTCCTACAACATAGAGGAGGTTGGACAAGGATGATCTCTGCAAAGCCTTCCGACTATGAATCTGATAACCTGCTCTCTGGCCACAACCTCTGATCTCTCCCACGACCTTATTCTCCTTTCACCTGCTCTGTGATCCCATTGAACCCTTGACCCTTCCATTTTCTTCTGGTTTACCGGCCTGCTCCAGGCTTTGCTTTCTTCCTTGGCTGATCATTTCAGCTAACTTCAACCCTTCACTTCTCTTTCTGCCTCAGCGGCTCGGCTAACTTCCAGCTTTGAATCAATTGTTCTTATTCTCTGTTCCTGGAAGGAGGCTGGGAAGCCCAAGGAAATGAAGTCGCACAACAGGGTAAACTGGTGTCACCACGCACTCCTGGTCTCTAAGCTCAGCAGGAACACCACACTGTCTGGTTTCTGCCCGCCGCCCCCCCCCCCACGTTTCTTTTCCTATCCACAGACTGGCCACTACAAGCCCCTGGCCTTCTTCAACTTGCCGTACAGCGCTTCTCAAACTAATGAGCACATCTGGAGATCCCCTTAAAATGCAGGCTCTGACTCAGTAGGTCTGGGAGGAAAACTGAGAGTCTGCATTTTAAACGAGCTCCCAGGTGATGCCAACACTGCTGGTTCAGGGATCGCAGGCTGAGCAGTAAGCCTCCTGTTTGCTGCAGGCCCCCTGCCTCTCAGGAGATGACATGGCCTCCTACTTTGAGAATTAAGAGTAATTAGACCTGGAGAGTGGGAATAGGGGGAGTCTCTCTCAACTTTCTCTTCTTTTTCTTCACACTCCTTCTCACTTCAAACTCAGTAGCTTAGTCTATATGCTTTCTTCTTTCCTTCCCTCAGGAAAAAGGTTCATCCTACTCAAAACCTTGTGATCTGAATGCCACCTCCTTCCACATTTTAAAATACACTGATCTTATCTCTTTTTTTCAGTTAATATTTCAATCCCTCCTGAGCGTTCTCCATGGGATATACCGTCACTGTTCAATATGGTAGCCATGTGTGGCTACTGAAAACCTGAAATGCCCTTATTTCAATTGAGATGTGCTGTGAGTATAAAGTACACACCAGGTTTCGAAGACGCAGTATGAGGAGGAAAATGTAAAACTTCATCAATAATTTCTTAATACTAACTACACACTGAAATATTTTGTATGCACGGGGCTAAATAAAACATATCCTGAAAGTTCATTTCATCTGTTTCTTCTTACTTCTAAAAAATGTGACGACTGGGAATTCCCAGCCGGCCTAGTGGTTTGAACTCTGCAGCTTTCACTGCAGAGGGTCTGGCCAAAAAAAAAAAAAAAAAATAAATAAATAAATTTAAAGTGTGACTACTAGAAAATGTAAGGTTATCTATATGGCTTCCATTATATTCCTATTGGACAGGGCTAGCATAGACACACGATCGTCTCTACCATATTGGAAAAACAAGATCCAAAAGGGAAAAAATAGGTCCCCTCTGCTCTGGCCCCCGCCCCATTCCTGCTGCTCCCCTTTTTCCTCCGCTCACTTTGCGACTCAGTACGCCAGTCTGGCTCCTGAGCCACAATGGCTGAACTTGGGGTGCGCAGAGGCTTCTTAGCTCCAAATCCTGGGCCCCCCTGTCCGGCCCTGGTATTGACGCGTCCCTGGCTGGTTCTCACGAGGCTCTTGGGTGCAGGGACGGTCACGGCCGGCTCCGCTGGCTTAGCCACGGATAGAGCCGGCTTGGCCTCGCAGCCGGCCTGCAGTAAACATCCGCTGGATGAATAAACGCGCAGAAGGTAATCCCGCGCTCGGAAACCTGCACTCGGCAATCCCGACAGAGGGCCTCCCGTGTGTCCGGCCTCCCGTGTGTCCGGCATCCCCCGACACGCGCTGGGCACTGGGGATCCCTGCGCTCCCGCGGTCCTTCAACACACCTAACTGTTGCCGTCACCCCGCATTTTGGGCTGCACGAGGCTCGGGGTGTGGGTGGGGGTGCTGCAGCGAGCGTGACTCTTGTGGGGTCCGCTCCCAGGGCTGGAGAACGGCTGATGAAAACATCAAACCAAGCCACCATCCTCCCCGGCCCCGCGTCCTGCAGCGGGGCTGGCACTAGGCGGGGGCGGATGGGGCAGTCGTCTCTGAACTCATCCCTCCCATTGGGGTAGGAGGCTGTCTCTGCTGCAAACCTCCAAACGGGATGGGGAGCCGGGAACTCGCACGGAGGTGCGGAGACCGCACGAAGCGGAGAGCGAGCGGTCCCAGACCCGCTCTCGGCGTCGGGGTTCCCCCCGCTCCCCAAGAGAGATGTCTTCTGCTCAGTCGTCGGGGCTGCGCCCAACTCCGGGGCCCCGAGCCTGACAGGAGGCCGGCTCCCCGCCCTCCCCCCGCCTCCCCTCGGGTCCGGGTCTCAGAGCCCTAGGCGCCCGACCCTCCCGGGCTCGTTGCGCTCAGCGCGGCGCGGGCCACCCTTACCGGAGCAGGGGCCGCCTCGGCCATGGCCCCCTGCGCTGTCCGGCACGGAGCCGGAGTAGCCGCCGCCGCCGCCGCCCCACACAGGCCGGCCCCCCGGCCTCTCCGCAGGCGGCGCGCTCCCGGCCCTGCCTTCCCCCGCCCCGGCTCTCGCTCGCCCGTCGGGCCCGGCCTGTTCGGGGCGCGGGGACACGGTGGAGACGCGGGCAGCCGTGCGGCGGAGCTCGGGTGGCGGACAGGTTCGGCCCCACTCGCTCGGCCCGCGGCGACCCCTCAGCTGGCGCTTTGTGGGCACCGAGCGCACCCCGGGGACCGCTCGGGCCTAGACGCGCCGCCCGCCAGCCGCGGCAGCGCGCCCCCTGCCGGCCCCGGCGGCCACTTGCGCCCCACCGGGCTTCTGCTCGGCTCTGCTCGGCTCCGCTCTGCTCCGCTGCGGAACCCAGGGGGTCCCGTTTTCTCACGAGCCCCCGAGAGTGCTCCACAGATGGGTACTAGGAGCCCAGCCACAAACCGGGGCTTGTTCTGGGAAGTGTTTTTCTTCCTGGACCCCAATCAGCCGGCCCCGCCTGAGGGGAGGCGCCAGGGGGAGGGCGACCGGCTGCAGGAAGGTGTAAATGGGCGGAGTGCCAGGGCTAGGTGCTGGACCGGGGCGACCGGAGCCGGTGGGTTAGACTGAGGGACAAGACACAAAGATCTGTGATGAAAACGGCGTTCATCACTGGCAGAAACTGCAGATGTGGCTCCCAAGGAGAAGCGGTTCCCATCCCACGGGGACGGTGTCAACACCAAAACTTAGTCCGCAGTGGTCCTTATATGACGGGAGTTGTGGTTTGCTGGGTCTGTGCTACCCGACAGCGAAGAACTAAGTGTTATCTGCTAAGGCTGTGAATTTCAGGCTGACAGAGCGTGTGTTACAGTTAAAAAAAAAAAAAAAAAAAGTCAATGCCCTTAACAGGCAGAGTAGATGCAAAGGCTGTGAATTTCAGGCTGACAGAGCGTGTGTTACAGTTAAAAAAAAAAAAAAAAAAAACCACCAAAAAAACACATAACTCTGAGTTTCCAGCCCAACCCTCCTTTCAAACAGGGTCCTCCGGAATCTGTATTTCAGTAAACGATTCAAGTCAATGCCCTTAACAGGCAGAGTAGATGCAAATCACAAAAGTATGAGAAGCGTCCTGTTGGGGCACCTACTCTTGAGCCTACAAAGCTATTTTTAGACTAGCTATACCTGCAGTGTGTCCTTTGAGGTCTACCGCAAAGGGAAACATATTTTGGTCAGATGACTAATGACAGTTAAAATTTGCTGTTCTCTGAATCAGAATATCACCATGACAGAATGAACTTCTAGAGAGAAAAAAAAAAGGGAGGGAAATCTGAATTTTCTTGATAAGGAAATTCATTTCTGTAATTTTATTATTTAAAATGTAGTAGTTAAAATTTTGATGCTGGGAAAGATTGAAGGCAAAAGGAGAAGGGGGCAGCAGAAGATAGGATGGATAGATAGCACCACTGACTGGATGGACATGAATTCGAGCAAACTCTGGGAGATAGTGGAGAACAGAGGAGCCTGACCTGCTGCAGTCCATGGAGTTGCAAGGAGTCAGACACAACTCAATAACTGAACAACAACAGCAAAGCTAAAGTTTTCAAGTTTAACTTGCAAGGCAAGAATGGAAATTACCAGCCTGTCAACTGCTGGGCACAGAAACCATTGTATTACTAAATACGACATTTTCAACTGAGCTTCTTAGGACATAAGGCTAGTTCTGACAGCATAATGTGGTAACATTACCATTAAACATTCTTCCTCTTGTGGTGTTGTTCAGCTGTGATCCCATGGACTACAGCATGCCAGGCTTCTCTGTCTCATTATTGCCCTGCTGCTGCTGAGTCGCTTCAGTCGTGTCCGACTCTGTGCGACCCCATAGACGGCAGCCCACCAGGCTCCCCCGTCCCTGGGATTCTCCAGACAAGAACACTGGAGTGGGCTGCCATTTCCTTCTCCAATGCATGAAAGGAAAAGTGAAAGTGAAGTCGCTCAGTCATGTCCGACTTTAAGCGACCCCATGGACTGCAGCCTACCAGGCTCCTCTCTCCATGGGATTTTCCAGGCCAGAGTACTGGAGTGGATTGCCATTGCCTTCTCCCCATTATTGCCCTGAGTTTGCTTAAATTCATGTCCATTGAGTCTGCGATGCTATCTAACCATTCCATCCTCTGTCTCCCCTCCTCCTCTTGCCCTCAATCTTTCCCAGCATCAGGATCTTTTTCAATGAGTCAACTCTTCTCATCAGGTGGCCAAAGTATTGGAGCTTCAGCTTCAGCCTCAGTCCTTCCAATGAATATTCAGAGTTGATTTCCTTTAGGATTGACTGGCTTGATCTCCTTGCTGTCCAAAGGACTCTCAAGAGTCTTCTCCAGCACCACAGTTTGAAAGCATCGATTTATAGGATATGGTCCAACTATTTTTCTTTATGGTCCAACTCTCACATATGGATAACTATGTATGTAGCCATCCATCCATAACATAACTACTGGAAAAACAATAGCTTTACCTAGATGGATGTTTGTCAGCAAAGTGATGTCTCTGCTTTTTAATACACTAAGTTTGTCATGGCTGTTCTTCCCAGGAGCAAGTGTCTTTTAATTTCATGGCTGTAGTCACCATCTGCATTGGTTTGGAGCCCAAGAAAATGAATTCTAACACTGTTTCCACATTTTCCCCATCTGTTTGTCATGAAGTGATAGGACTAGATGCCATGTTCTTAGTTTTTTGACTGTTGAGTTTTAAGCCGGCTTTTTCACTCTCCTCTTTCGCCTTCATCAAGAGGCTCTTTAGTTCTTCACTTTCTGCCCTTAGAATAGTGTCATCTGCATATCTGAGGTTATTGATATTTCTCCTGGAAATTTTGATTCCAGCTTGTGCTTCTTCCAGCCCAGCGTTTCTCATGATGTACTCTGCATATAAGTTA